CTGGGGTTCATAGTCATTAGTAGTATTACTTACGATATTTGCTTTGTTACTACTAACTTACATCTTTTATTTTGATCTTTTGATGTTGTATTTGTTATTATTAGGGGAAGGTTTTTAAGACAAAAAAAATCCTGAAAATCCTACGGGAGCGGGAGAAAACGGGATTGCGCGTACGAAGTCGCGGGCAGAAGCTAGTTATTAATAAACACAACTTCTAGAGTGGACTTGTTTATACAAGTACGTACTTGTTTAGCTCTCGAGTTAAACGCGTAATACGATACAGGATCATATTACTTCGGCTCACACTTGTGTGGGTATGTTAAATGGCCTACTTAGATCTTTTGATAAGAACAGAAGTAGCTATTATTTTGTATTTATAACCGACTTGAAAAAGAAGGGGGTTTTCAGCTTTTTTAAGTGATAACATGCCTTAAACTGAGAAAAGCTCGATTAGTTTCGAAGCACAGAGGGGTTCTTCCTCATGAGCAGCGTGCGCAGTCGCGGCGATGTCCCGCAGCCTACTAGATCACGTACCTATGAACTGACTTGTATTTATGAGCTTGAAATGCTTGCAATATTATCCACGAATAACAATCTAACTGACACTATTGTTACAGGTGATGCAAAAAGCTATATCTCTGCTGGAGAAGAAAGAACGTAAGTCATTTATGTCATCACTTTATATATACCACCCTTTCTTTCTCAAACTAGTACCATTTGTTTTTATAATAACTATCGTGAGACATACTAAATTAAGTGAATAGCTTTTCTCAGTATATTCACGTGGGTAACCCGCGTTTTTAATTAATTTAGTACCATTTGGTCTCCAATGTGTTGTTATTGAACTTAAAATTGGCTTCATTTGTGCTCACACTAATACGAAAGTCATAATTTAACAATTATATTGTTGTGTGTATTCACTGTTCACCGTGTGGTAACAGCTAAGTACCTATAACACATTTATTTCCACCGCTATGGTGGTCCGTGTCGTAAAAGCCGACTAAATTCTAAATTAATAAAAGAAATGGAGGAGCAGCAATTTTTGGTCTCCCATCTTCTGGAGGGATTACGGCAAACTCCTCTTATGTAGACGAGGTCCGTTGTTGTATGACGTCACAGCCTCTTCATGTTTGTGTGTAGATGTGAGTGTGCTGGTCCAGTTTGCGTTGATGGAGAATCGCAATGGTGGTCGGGAACGAGCTGAGGCCCTCTTCGAGCAGGTGCTGGCGGTGTACCCCGCCCGCGTCGATGTCTGCAGCACATACGTCGATATGCTACTCAAAAACGATGACAAGGACCATATCAGGTCAGTAACCCTATTACATAGTACCTTAGATCTACTGATTTAGATAGTAGTTCATAATATATAGAATAGAATCCGGCGTTGCTTTTCAGAAATCCATGCTTCAGTAATAAGGAAAAGGAAGCCAAAAAGAAGTCAATATTTTGTATCTGTTAGTGATATAGTTCACAAATTATTTATAGCAATTCCTGTAGGGTTATTATGACGTCCTAAAGTCAGAATGGTTGCATTGAGGGAAAGAGATAGAGCTTTGCAAGTCGTCTAGCGAGATCTCGTTCCCTCAGCGGAACCTTACTGGCTTTAAGACGTCATAATACGCCACCAGTGCTATGAACAAATGCACTTAAAATGGATTTACTCGCAAAACGTATTATATTTTGTTGTATATTTATATACTGATTTCTTCGTTATTTCATGTACTTAGACTCCTTGACTAGACTCGTCTATCTATTGCGGATTTATCAAGCGAATAGCATCTTTGAGTTTTTTCAGTGAAAGATTACTATTCTTATAGCTGTGAAATTAATAAAAGATGTTACTCCAACATCTCTGTATTATGATAGTTTTTGACATTAGTTGTATATTGAGTCTCTATCAACAACTTGAATCGATTTCGGCATTATCGTATTTAGCTTCCTTGTGCATACTGCTAAGGAGTGGAATTCTTTGCCAGAGTCTGTTTCTTGAAGGGTACCTGAATAGGTTGATTATGGGACGACGTGCTCCATCGTAGGCCGCATCATCGCTTACCAACAGAGATAGTGGCGACACGTCGGCCCATCAAAGATAAAAAATCATCGGTTATTTATTTGGTTCATGTTTTTGATATGATTATGAATTATTTATTAATGTAACAGGCAAGTAATGGAGCGCATGACGTCGCAAAAGTTGCCAGCGAGGAAAATGAAGATTTTGTTCAAGAAATGGATCGAAGTGGAGGAGAGGATGGGGGACCTCGAGCAAGTCGAGGTTTTACGGCAGCGAGCGGCTCAGTATATGGAGAAAGCCAAGTTTTAAACATGTGATCATTACAATAAATTAAATATCTCAAATCATACCTGTACTTTGTTGTTATTTCTCATCTTACTTCTTACATAATAACGTAACATCACGCCTTTTATCCCCGAAAGGGTAGGCAGAGGTGCACATTACAGTACTGAATGCCACTGTACAATGTAACACCCACTTTTCACTATTTATGTTATGAGTCCCATGTAATAGGGGGTGAGCCCATTGCCATATACCGGGCATGATTCCAGACTTCGTGCTACTACTGAGAATTAAAAAAAAACTCAGTTATGCTTTGCCCGACTCGGGACCCCTTGCTCAGCAGTCGCACTTGCAAGCTAGAGACCACCTCGTTGGCCGAGTGGTCGGAAGTCGGCACGATAGTCTTACTTCTTACTATAATAATGTTGTTATGAATGTGAAAGTTTGTAAATTTGTGTCGATGAATGTTACTTAATCATGTCAAAACGCCTGGAGGATTCGGGATGAAATTTGGAGAAGGGATAGATGGATAGATTATGGATGTTAATACATATATGCTACTTTTTATACCTACTACGAGAACGCGGGCGAAGCCGCTGGCAGAAGTAGAAGTATTTTTAAACTTTCCTTTTCAGGAATTCAATTTTCCATCTGACCCTACAACGCATAGCAAAAATTTGTCCAACAAGCGATGTCGCGGGGCGCACATATATCTTGTACCGCAACCTATGTGTACCAGGCTATCATATAATAGAAGCGGTTTACAAACCTACTGAATGAAACTGACCCATCCTTTACTGCGAAATATTAAGTGTCACTATTGTAATCGCAAAAGCTTCTCTCTGCATCACCCTATGGTTGGCTGGTAGAGAATGCCAATATAAACACTGCCCCGCCCTGTACTATAAATGTCCACATCGAATAAGGGCGTTAAGGTCAAAATTCAAAATTGAAACCACCGCAGATGAAGCTCAATAGGGCTGATGCCGATACGGAGCCGCGAAGAACTTAACGGGTTACCGATGCTCTGGCTCGAAGTGCAGGAGTAGGAACGGGTGGGTTTTAGTCAGTAATAGTCTGACACTCCCTCCCGCCTCACTCAGGCGGGAGCAGTCATTCAATGTTTTTCCTCTCTTAAAAAAAGGTCAAAGTTCGAAGATTTGTTTCGAAATTTTCAGCAAATTAGATGAACTAAGGTTTAAAGGAAGGTTCTTCAAGGGATATTTTATCCTCGCTGGCTGTTAGTGCGATTGTGCAACCAAAAAACTTAAGGATTGTTAATAAAACATCGTTTGAGAAGAAAAATATGTTTATTTATTACAAAAAAACGAGTATAAAAATTAAAAAATGTAAAAATTATTTGAAAATTATATACTTAAGTAAATAAATTATTAACAGTTCTGTTAATATATACGGATGTAGTCGACACAGGCTTTAATCATTAGCACGGTATAGGTAAGATCTGGGCTTACAATTCTTCATTAAATTAGTTTCTGACGAAGAATTCGCACGTAGGTATTCATTTTTCGTGCATAAACAAACACTAATGATAACAATGTCGTTTACCCTGTCTCGAAGACCAGTGTACGCTACTACCTAGAGGTATATGGCACAGATTATTAGGTACGTTTGATAAAGATATTTTGGAGGATCGTGCTTATTAAAATTGATAACAAATATTTGTACTTCATTTGTAATGAATCTAACTAATAACAACTACTTTAAAGTTACGCTTAAACAACTTTACCCTTCTTACTGTCTGTTAAAATCGTATTAAGTACATACTTACAATAATCATATTACTTATATCACGCTCCCGCTTCTATTTTTTATATTTTTAAATCTTTTTTGTTGTAAGTAGTACGTACCTATTTAAAAAATGTAATTTGTAGATAATTTTAAATAAATATATGGAAATAATATCTATGTATATAAGTACATATTTTAATTACAAAACGTGAAATTGTGCACGGTTCCACATAAAACATCCATCATGGAGAAGAACCGGCAAGAAACTCCATGGAAAATATTACAAGTACTCTAATATTTATATTCCTAAGTACTATCTATACTATTATATGTAAGTATAAACCTACAAGGCAGCCTTCCTGCCCTGGCCTCATCTGACAGCCCTAAATAGGTCAGAGGACAGATGATTTGTGGTAGTAAACCATCGATGTGTTTGATACTGTTAAACTATGTCGATAATAAGGTCTACAATATGGTAATTATTATTATGACATCATACACAAAACTGACGAAACATAAGACATTCAATAATAATTCAGAAAACAGAATTACCGTCGTTTTTATATTACAATAGGCAACAAAGTTTCACTTTTTTTAATCTCTGCTAAAACAATACATTTTGTTCATAGAACTATGCTTATTGAGTAAAATTTTCGAAGATATTGTATGTCTATCACGTCTAGATTTTATGTTATCTGTTAACAAAGTGTAATTTGATCATTTTATATAAAAACTAGCAGCCCGTCCCGGCTTCGCACGGGGTAGACAATTATTTATTTTTGGATCTTTGGATTGTTGTGGTGACATAACTACAATAGTTGGACATAATTATGCTACCGCGGAGTTTTTTGTAGACATTATGATATTGTTGTACATTATTTTGTTCTATCGCTAATAGTTTCGGCAGCGCATTCGACGAAAGACATTTTAAGACTTATTTTTCTACACCTACGGTTACATTGTTCAAATTTTACCAAGGATCCCTAATTTTTTGAAAATGAATTGTAGCCTATGTCAAATTGGAAGAATGTAGCACTCTCTTGGTGAAAGACTGTTTTAAATCGGCCCAGTACTTTTTGAGCCTATTCATTACAAACATATACAAACATACAAAAATAGGTACAAATCTTTCCTCTTTATATTAGTATATAGATTATTACCTATCAAATGTACCATACTTTCAAAAAATTAGTTAGAGTTGAATCTTTCCATAGTACTTTGAATTTATACTTTAACGTTCGCTATAGATAGCTGAGCTGAGTTATTGCAGCAGTTTGTTTCAACTGATTTTTTCATGCGACAGATATTACAGAACTACCATAACTCAGCGACGAGATTAGATAGACTCAGAGACGATACCCTAAAGCATCGATTTAACTCGTCGAGTACCATCATTATAGACACATTTAAAGAACAATAGGTTGCGGTCACCGGTGCCCTCGCGGTGTTTGACAGTTTAAAGTGATATGAAAAGAATAAGATTTGTAGGTACTATATAATTTACGTACCTATTGAAAATGTTCACGGTTCAGTCACGAAACCATTAATAAATAATATTATTAATTCCAGGACTTTGTCAGGTCGTTTACACAAAATCTAGACGTGATAGAAATGTATTTCCAAAATATTTTTTGTTTTAGCGGTGAAACATACATGTTGATCTAGTACTTATTTGTACGTTGACATTCACCTCTTTCGCACGCAAGTCTCAATACACTACACTTATTCCGGTATGTTAATTATGATATTATAGACTTTATCACCATGTTTCACAATATGTACTTGGGGCTCATTCACAGCACTTTCGCTTTCTTCTTCAACAATTTTCTGCTTGTCTTGTCCATTTGTACCATTTATCTTTTTGTCCAGGTTTAAAATAAACTCATCTACATCGATTTTCTTTCTTTCTGCAAAGTCTTTATAATCGTTCAGGTCTTTTTTCAGTTCTTCATACTTGTTTCGTATTCGCTCTTTACGACTGTTCGCTGTCCTATAGACCTGGTATTGATTGAGATCTATCCTACATTTTTTATAGTTAGATAGAGCTTCATAAACCGTATTCCTCCTCGAAAGTAGTTCTGGGTCTAGAGTTTTTCTTTTCTTTGGCGATTTTAAATCCTAAGAATAAACAGAAAACGTGTTAATAATCACGGCTTAATTAACACTCACGGGGGAAACTACAAGGGTCGCTAGTTGCGTTTGTTTTCCACAAACTTATGAGGTCAAATCCCCTGCGATTGACTAGTAAATACTTAGTACCTAACTACAATATGCTACATGAGGACTACTAGCTGCTGCTGCTGATACTACTACTACTACTACCACCTAGATACTAGTAAAACTTCAACGTACTTATAGCTCATCATCCCTAACAACCTTGTTAACATCAAATGTATTTGCAAAATCTACCTACAGACAGGTTATTAGATAAGGCCGTAAGCAGTTATAGTTACCTTCTGCTTAGACGTAGGTTTCTTTTCCTTAGAGGTACCAGCTTTTTGGTCTTGCGCGTTGGCATTGGCGCTAGTGCTCCCAGCTTTTTGGTCTTGCGCGTTGGTATTGGCGCTAGTGCTCCCGTGGGCCTGCGAGTCCAGTGCTTTACCGCTTTGATTCAACTAAAGGGTAGAAACAGGGTTTGAGAAATAGAAATATATTTAGCCATGAAAATAACGCTTGCGTTGTGTTTCGTCGTGTGAGTGAGGTTACCGGAGGCTAAACTCCCCAATCCCTCCATCCCCAACAATCCTCAAATTCCTAACCCTCAAAAGGCCGGCAACGCACTTGTAACGCCTTCAGATGATCCATCTACTGGTTTACCGACTTATGTAGTTTACTACATACATACATTTGTTACATTACATACATAACTTCACGCCTGTCTCCTATGGTGGTAGGCAGAAACTATAGAACGCCAATTGCTACGATTCTCACATACCCCTTTCGCTTCATCCCTAGTCATCAGTCTTATCATGCCTGCTAGTCGGTTAACTTATACTTAACTATACCTACCTTATTCAATAAACGTATAACATCTGTAGGCAGGCTTTCTCCACGATGTCCATAACGGTCGCTGACGTACAGACGAAGTTCTTCGCTCAGGTTCAGTTCAGGTTCACCTCTATCGTCAGCCATCTGTGAATCAAATGAAATCGTTTAATCATTTGTAAACATAGGTGATATTTAATATCTTGAAAGGTAAGTGGTACGCTATGTCTTATCAATTAACGTACAAATTATTAGGAAAAAATGATACAATTAAATTAATATCTCTATCTTTTGTATGTATAGTATGCAAAGTCGCGAAACGTCTTTATATTATTAAAAACTAAAATCATCTGATGATTAGATAAAAACTACTTGGAAAGTTATAATACACAACGAGACTGGTAGGAAAAGTTTAAAAAACTCATAATTTAATTTAAATACCGAAAGGGGACAGATTTCATCAAACGTAGATGTAGCCCAGGAGTTTGAAAGTTTTTTTACCAACATTCCTCTACTGAACATCTAAAGTCATTAGCAAACCTCTCTGTAACTTTGCTTAATAACAATATGGAATCATGTCAACACGACTTTAGTTTTCGATATACGAATCCTCTAGAAATTATAAAAGTTTTTAAAGAAATCAAGACCAAATCAACGGAGGATCTTTGGGGATTGTCGGCAAAAGTTTGCAAGTCACTGATTCAAACTGTAGAGCCATATCTGGCTGTGATTTTCAATAAATGTATAGATGACGGTGTTTTCCCTGACCTAATGAAATATAGTAAGGTTATCCCATTATTTAAAAGTGGTGATATTAAAGAACCTAACAACTATAGGCCAGTGTCTGTTTTATCGGTTCTCAGCAAAGTCTTTGAAAAGTTGATGCTGTCTCGGATGCTTCATCATTTTAATAAACATTCTATATTTCACCAACAACAATACGGTTTCACTAAAGGTCGTTGCACAACTGACGCCGGTGTGACTTTGATTAAGGAAATATTTGGTGTTTGGGAGAAAGCACAGGATACTATTGGTGTCTTTTGTGATCTCTCAAAAGCATTTGATTGCGTTGACCACGAAACACTTTTGCTGAAATTAGATCACTACGGGATAAGAAACTCTGCGCTCCGTCTTATGAAATCTTATTTAGAAGAAAGACAGTTAAAGGTTCATGTTCACGGTATTAACTCGCAGGGCTCTGTAATGAATATGGGCGTTCCTCAAGGTTCAATATTGGGTCCCTTTTTCTTTTTAGTCTATATAAATGATTTGCCATTTATATTTAAAAATGAACCACGAATGGTGTTTTTTGCAGATGATACATCATTAATTTTTAAAATAGATCGACGTACAAATAATCTTAACGACGTAAACAACTCCATTCTTCAAGTGCATAATTGGTTAACCATTAACAATCTAGCACTGAATGGGAAAAAAAACCAAATGTATTAAATTCATTTTACCAAACGTGCGTAGTAACGATTGTGATATTGTTTTGAACGACGAGGCGGTATTTTTAAGCCATATGTTAGACAATAGGCTACAATTAGGTCCACAGATAAAGGCGCTCTCGGGGAGATTGAGCTCAGCTGCTTTTGCAGTTAGACAGATTAGACAGCTTACGGACGTAGATACAGCAAGGCTTGTCTATTTTAGTTATTTCCACAGCGTTATGTCGTACGGCATTTTGTTGTGGGGTCGAGCTGCAGAAATAGAATCAATATTTATTCTGCAAAAGCGGGCTATCCGAACAATATATAACTTACCTACGCCGTTGCGAATCACTGAGAGAATTGTTTAAAAAGATCAATATTTTAACGGTGCCCTGTCAATATATATATATATATGAAAATATAATGTATGTAAGGAAAAATAGGCAATTGTTTGAAAAAAGAAGTGATAGACACAATTTTAATACTAGAGGCAAAAATAAGTTAGCTATACCGCAATTCAGACTGTCCAAGTTATAGAAATCCTTTATGGGGTTAGGTATTAAATGCTATAATAAAATACCAAATAGCATACTAGATCTCAATGAAACTAAATTTAGAACATATATTAAGCGCGAATTATGTAATCAAGCTTACTACACACTGACAGATTATCTTGAAGATAATAATGTTCGGCAGCATGTTGGTTCGGCTCCACTGGGCAATACTCAAATGTAGTCAGTAGTTAGATTCCTATAGTAGGTAATTTAATACATAATTTAATACTTTTATTCTAATGTAGACAATCTAGTTTCCTTATGGCATCGAGCATTTCTTTCTTTATTGAAACAAAGAGTTTCCTTTTTTTTGTATAGAAGCACTATTTTTATGGATTGTCAGTATGCATATGTGAGCACCATGTTAGATTATAAGATTTTTTTTAGTAAGATTTGTAACTAGTACCTATAATGCGTCAAGCGTGTCTTTGCATTGTTCTCACTTATGCGTACAGTATTGGAATATGTATCAGAGACATTGTAGAACATACTTTTTAAAAAGAGTAACGAATGGAGTTTCTTGCTCGTTCTTCTCCATTTGAATCTACATTTTGGAATGAGCACCTAGCTGCACCTAGCTTTACTGACGGACTGACTAACTGAAATTTCTATATTCATAATTAAAATCACTTCATATATAAATGTATTGTCTATGTTGAGTCGTACGGTGTACTCAAAGAGCCATCAGACCACCACGGATGGGGCTCAATAGGGCTGATGCCGGTACGGAGCCGCGGAGAACTTAACGGGTTACCGAGGCTCCGGCTCGAAGGGCAGGAGTAGGAACGGGTTGGTTTATAGTCAGTAAGAGTCTGACACTCCCGCCCACCTCACCCAGGCGGAGAGGTCATTCGATGATTTTCCCCTCTTAAAAAAAATCTATTTTGAGTCATAATTTTTATGTTAAGCATTTATAAGTAAAATGTCAAAACAAATACCGTCGTCATCATGTGTACCCAGTGTCTACGATATGTCTTCGTAAACAGACCGGTAGTTTTTGCGTAATGCTACAGACAGACGGAGACAAACATTTTGTTTATAACATCACCAACGAGCCAACGAGGCAGCCTTTTTATCCCCGAAGGGGTAGACAGAGGTGCACATTTCGGCACTTAATGCCACTGTACAATGTAACACCCACTTTTCACCATTTATGTTATGAGTCCCATATAATAGGGGGTGAGCCCATTGCCATATACCGGGCATATTTTCAGACTCCGTGCTACTACTGAGATTTTTAAAAACCCAGTAACACTTTGCCCGACCCGGTAATCGAACCCGAGACCCCTTGCCCGGCAGTCGCACTTGCGACCAGTAGGTCAACGAGGCAGATGTAAATTTTGTTTGTTGTGTCTATATCTAGTAACACCCTCGACCATTTGTAAAAATTACTAAATTTTTGAAATGTGTTAAATGTATAGAATTTAAACTTGTACAGTTTTATTATCTGTATGAATTATTAAAACATAATCAAATATTATGTATCTGCTGTAGTTAAAACTGGAGTGGAAGTTATATGCACAAAAGACAAATTTATGTAGACATTAAAAATTTATCCAAATCTGAAGTATGAAGAAATATGAAGAGTTTATTTTTTTGTTGTTTGTTTGTTTGAACGCGATAATATCCGAAACTGCTGGTCCGATTTGAAAAATTCTTTCTGTGTTGGATAGCCCATTTATTGAGGAAGGCCACAGGCTATAAAATATCACGCTACGTTTAATAGGCGCCGAGCAGAGCGAGTGAAAACACGCGGAAGTAGCTAGTATATACTAAGGATGAACGTAATACTTAATTCTGTAGTTGATATGTTTATGTTTAGGTACAACATTATTGTATTTTTAAATATCTAATCTAATATATATAATAAAATAAATAATAATCTAAAAATATCAGTAGTAGTACGGAGTGTGGAATTGACCCCGGTATACGGCCTGTGTCTTATCACAGTGTGTAACAAAAGAGGAATATTAACAATTTGAAAAAAACATACTATAATAGAAATCCAAAGAGACAAATAAAAATAAAATATACATATAAATACACTTTTACACGTACACACATACTTATGAAGAAAGGTATATATCATCCCCTAAATTTCTCCAAACATCGGAAATAAGGTCCGTAATAGTGGAGAGCGGTCACCGATGACCGCTAGGCGATAAATGGGAGGGAGCGATAGATTTAGTTAGCGCCTCGAATGTTGGGCGGGCGCGGGGGCAGTTCCACAGCTTCACAGCACAAACTGTGAAGGTGGTTCTTATACGTACAAGATAATTAACTAAAACGCGAAGGAAAATTACCAATGAGACATAAACTTCGAGGGGAATGCTAGTTTAAAATAAAACACTGCGTCATGTATGCCTCATATATTGACATCGGGTTACTTACTAGTAAATTATATTTCTTAATAAGTACCTATTATCACTATAACAGAGTAAATAAGAATAAGGGAAAATTTATTTATTTAAATAGGTATACCAACAGCTTCTGTATACATAGTATTAAGTGATAATGAAAGTAACTATAAGTATTAGGCTTATACAGTCGCCAATTATAGGTTAACCAATATTTAATTACTTAAGTGATAATAAAAAGTCACATACAAAAATGAACGAGAACAATAAAATTTTAGTTACTAAAAAAGGAACTACTACTAACGAAATTAACAATCTTATTTTAGGGAACATAAAATTAAAGACGTTTAATAGAACTTTAAAAACCTTGGTTATAACAAAATTAAACATTTTAAAAAAGAATAAAAAGCATGTTTCATAAAAATTAAAATGTTAATAAATATATTAAGCTAAGGATATGAACATTTAATAAAAAAAATGTAGATATATAAAGAAATGAATTAAAAAAAATGAGATATTGACACTTAGTACTAATACGTACTCATCTAATTTCACATACATATAGTAGTTACATAGTAAACTAAGTTGTGCGGTTTGGGGTTCCAGTATTCGGGTCTTAAAAACTTTTATGGTGTCATGATATAATTATGTCAACATCTGGAGTGGACTTTATAGAGGTATAAGAATTAATCTCACGGGCGAGCCTATTGAGAGGTGAATTCACCGGTTCACCCCTATATTTGTATTGGATGCTTTAGTATGAAACAAGTTTGATATGGGATATCTGGGCAATTTATGGGGCACTCGTAGTTGCACCTATTAAATCAATTTATCGCAGTCTACTCTGTTATTCACCAATTTGTAGAAGAATATAAAGTCCTGCGACAGTCGACGGCTACGCAGAGTATTCATTTCAAAGCTTTGAAGGGGAGAAATATTGCCAAAGATGCATGCTAAGTGCTTTGTGAAGGCTCTTTGGATGCTTTCTATTCTTTGTGAATGTACTGCGTAGAGCGGGTTTCATACTGCACTGGCAAACTCTAGGTGACTACGAACTAAGGCGTTATACAGGACTATTTTTATTCTCACCAGGAAATGCAATTCTTTATTGACGTATTTTTCATTATCTATTATTATTTAATGAGAAACATATATATGTATGTATATACTTAATGTAAATTAAAATTAGACAAACTACGTACAATTTATCTGTTTAGGTACTTAGGCACATATTTTTTTTACAATCAATACGTATTTCGTTAATTATACAGAACCTTTCATGTATTAATGATGTATTCTATTAGTGGATCCACTTTACATGTGTATATATATATATGGCCACTTAAACTTACATATTTGAAATACATCAGAAGGATAATTAAAAATCTATGGCGGCTCATTTCCTTCAGTAAATTAAAACTAAACAAAATGTTATTTCCTTCAGCACTCGCAAATTTTAACAGTCTATTTGCCGTGAGAAATAAAATACTTATGAAGGTTTGGAGTTCCTCGGTGGTAGTGTCTACCTCTTGCTTCAGTTCTCATGTTTATGAACCCACCATTGATTATATTTTCAGCATGCAAAATATTTGCCAGTATTGTAAAAGGCGTCATTGACGCGATACCCCCTTACAGGCAATCCTGGGCTGGCTCGTGTAGATGGCACGTCGACGCGAACAAACGGGCCTTCCTTCCATTGTGCTGAGCCTTCGGTGTCTCCAGCGGCACTCTTCGTAGATTCGTTGGTCCTACATATTAATATATATCAATAATACCTGCCACTTTACTTTTGATGTTTTGTTCACTAGTTGTCAGATGAATAAAAATACCTGTTTAAATCAAAGAAGTCAGATTCCTGAAGAGAAGCGTGGCAAGTGACACTTGTAGTAGTTAAAGTGCGGCGACGCCGACGTCTTGCCTGCCGATATTCTTTGGCCTCTTCTTCGCCGAAAATCATCAGGAGGTTTTGTTCGATAACATCCATCTAAATAAAATAGCATACATTTTTGATATTCATAATATCTAGGTACTTCATTTCATCAAAATTGTGTTCGGCAGGTAATCAATCACATTAGGCGACCGTTTTGTGTAAAATCTCGGAAGTTTCACTACACACATAAATATAGTATACACTAAACACGATTGTTTTACACACTTTTATACATTATATCCTACCTGACTGACGACGATAAGTTTGGAAGAAGTTCCATTTTTGAACAATTCATAAATATTTCGACCCTTTACGGTCAAAATTACTTATCAATTACGTATGGACGTAGAATTTTCGCAAGTTCCGTAAAGCACCGTCGGAAGCAGTTCCATTTTTGAACAATTCATAACATCACGCTTTTTATCGGTATATACACTAGGCACAATTCCAAACTCCGTGCTACTACTGAGAATTAAAAACCCAGTAATACTTGGCCCAGCCTGGGAATCGAACCCGAGACCCCTTGCCCGGCAGTCGCACATGCGACCACTGAGCCAACGAGGCAGTCTTTCAGTTTTGGATAGTTCATAATTTTGTTTTGACGTCGATTTTTACACACAAATATTACTTTATGAACTTGGCTTATAGGGCCCTGGGCCATGTTAGGAACATAGACTCGAGGCTCTGAAAATAAATTATTGCATACATGTGTATTAACTGCTACAATTAACTACTGTTATTGTATCACATATCTATATTTATTAATCTGTAGTCCATTCATTTCATTCTATCTTCAACGTATTTACTTTAGACAAATATAATTTCTTTTTTTTTTTTTTTTTTTTTTTTTTTTTAAAAAAAAACGTTGCCCCACACTAGGATTTTCTCCTGTGTCGTGGGTGCGTTTACAAACATACAAGTCCACATACACAATGACACCCAGACCCGAAACAACAATTTGTGGATCACACAAAGTGTTGTCCCGTGCGGGAATCGAACCCGCGACACGTTGCACGGCAGCCGGTTGCCCAGCCACCGCACCAACCGTGCAGTCATTTCGAAACAACCACGCGTCTTTCATTGGCAAATCAGCACAAGCAAACTGCAACCTTATCGCCTCAACCAGTGGCGTGCAGTCCTCATAGGCAAAAAGGCTTTGCTTGACATAAAATATACAAACGCGTTTATTAAGATTCAATAATATAATAAAAGTTTGTAAAAAAACGGCTAACATAAATATACATTCACATATACTATACACGGACCGCACGCCTTTGGCCTCAACTAGAGGTACATTATTCATATAAAGTCAAAAAATCAACTACAAAACTTAAGGTGGGCCGTCTTAATCTATGGAAATAAAAAGACAATCATAAAATAAACAGACACCACAAATAAAACTAAACTTGGAAATCAATTTTAAAAGTAACTTAACAAAAACAAAACTATGTCAGATGCTTTTTCTAAAATATTTATTTTTGTGTCAGTCATAGATAGGACTCTTAGGAATACGTAAGTAAGTCCGAACAATGATAATATAGTGAATGGCATTCTTATCCGGAACACTATCCTTTAGCATAAATTATTTTTTTCCACTCTTAGGAAGGCCGGGGTCATCTTAGATCACTACACTGTCAGCCATGTTAGGAAAAATAACACCCGCGTTGAATTAACCTCGTAAAATATAAAATGATAACTCTCACGTGTAATTCACTGTTAAATAGTTGAATTAATAATTTTTACTGTTTTTTTTTAAGGGGGGAAAATCTTTGAATGACTTCTCCGCCTGGGTGAGGCGGAAGGGAGTGTCAGACTCTTACTAACTAAAAACCACCTCGTTCCTTCTCCAACTTTCCGCTACCAGTTTTCCGTGACTCCGAATCGGCATTAGCCCTGTTGGACCCCATCCGGTGGTGGTCTGATGGCTCTTTGAGGCGCGCACGGAACACGACGCGCCGTACGCTCGGGTGTGGTTCCGGTCGGTCGGCGAGCCAACCATGCTCGCGCTTACGGTGGCCGGAGATTGTCCCGCAATCCCGCAATCAAATCGCAAATCCCCGTCCCGACGCCCGGAGTGTCGCGATGGCTGGGTTGCGAGGAGGCAGCGCTTCGCTGCCTCACGCGTCCCGCCTCCTCCTTAGCTAGCATGACTGCTTCGCAAAAGAAAAAGACGGCACCCCAGTCCCCCTCGCTCCGCATCCTGACCCGCACTAGGGCCAGGCGCGAGAGGTCGTCATCGCCGATTACGTCCCCGAGGGCACGGCGGTGCTCGGCACACGCAGGGCATTCCGCTATAGTACGTTCCACCGTGTCCTCAGGGCCGTCCTCGCGCAGTGATGACACCCGGGCGTTTCCTCCCGCCCCATTAGACACAGGTACCTCCCGAGACTTCCATGTCCGGTGAGGACCTGCGTCAGGCGGTAGGTGAGGACGTTCTAGCGTCTCTCAAGCCACTCCTCAAAGAAGGGACTTACCGCTGCAATGGCAGCGAGCCCAATTTTACTGTTTAAAGCTAAGATAATAGTTTTAAGTTAGCTAATTTTCAAAAATATTAGGATAATGGGCCATCTTCGGAGCCGGGATATTACTCAAAAATTATTCTAATGTCTGAACATGAAATAAGTACCTATATCTATTATTCAAACTCGGTATTTCGATCGTACGAAGCCGGTAGCCGCGAGCGGAAAAGCGATTAGTTAAAAAATCACACAGTATAAATATAAAATTTACATTATTTCAAAAAGAATTTATATTATTTCTTTGGAAGATCGGCATCAGAAATGCAAGATTTAATGTTGCCACACTTCCTATAGCTTATTGCGTCAGACGCCGGCCGGCGCCAGTATACACAGCCTAGGTAAAGCAACAGACTATATGAGACTACTATTTATGTATTCATAGCATCGCGCCAAACGTAACACTGCGCAGTAAACAACAGCGAATTGAAATATTTGCCTTGAGTGGAGAGTTTAACATAATAAAATATATTTCTATAGGTAAGCGATGATTCGGTCTACGATGGAGCACAGTTCACTAATATACATTGCTAATAATTTATTATTAAAATAAAATTAGGACTAAGTAATAGGAAAACACATCTTTGCTAGTTATTATAATTAGAATTTGTTTAATAATGATCTCTGTTAATAACGCAAATAGATAATAATTCGCCGCCCAATAACCACGCCCGGCAATAATAAGAAATAAGCACTAACATTGTATTATTTAAATAAGTATACACTCTAATAACGTAAGATATAAATAAGTATAGGTACACTAACCTTGACTCCGCACTGAACTCAAAACTCACAATAACAATGTTTTTAATTAATATAAACGGAGGAATTATTTTGCAAACGTCTACTTCGCGCCGTGTCAAAAGTTGTACTGGTTATGTCAACCGGCAGTCTAGCAATCTAGCACTGGACTGTGGGGCCCGTGGGAGCTCAACTCACGCGTAAGTGACGACGTCACTTTTAGACCCAGTTTGCGAGACTGTAGCGCTGACGTGGCTCTCTTAATGGTCTTGTTGATACATAAGTTGTTCTATATCTAATTTTGTAGTACTTAGAGACTAGTTTCGTTATACACAACCTAGGCCGCGTAAAATTGCACCACTTTGGAATAATTTCCAAAACAAATCATAGGTGTTTTAAGTTCTAGTCAAAATAGTCCTCTTACTCACGTAACCTTTTGGCTAGGAGCTATTCGTTTTGAGCCATGCTATATTATAGAGACCATAATAAGTAATTATCTTATTTATATCTTACGAAAGTTATAGTAAAACGATAATAAAATTAACTTAAAACTTCTTCAGACTATGTAAGCACAGATTGTAATGAAGGCAAGATTACTGCTTAAAAGATAGAAGGAAATATTTTAAAAATTGTTTTGATTTTATAGTATCGCGTCACGTAAAGTTTAATATTCATTATTATTTTCCTTATTTCGACTAAACGAAGCAATAATTTACTTGCGCAAGATAACAGTTTTGTATGAATTGGCGTAGTATCTCGTAGCTCGTAGCCCGTAGCCCGTAGCCACATTGTACGTATGCGAATGAACAACATAGACCCTCGATAAAATCTACAGTTTTACTATAACTATATAGAGACACCTATATATAGATATTATTTTTATATTCGATTGAATTCTCTATAGCCTAACTCCCGTATTTATAAATAAGTAATTACTTAGACTGCCTCGTTGGCCGAATGGTCGCAAGTGCGACAGTGTAGGCAAGGGGTCTCGGGTTCGATTCCCGGGTCGGGCAAATTATTACTGGGTTTTTAAATAAATTCTCAGTAATAGCACGGAGTCTGGAAATGTGCCCGGTATATGGCAATAGGCTCACCCACACATGGGACTCATAACATAAATAGTGAAAAGTGGGTGCTACATTGTACAGTGGCATAATGTGCACCTCTGTCTACCCCTTCGGGGATAAAAGGCGTGATGTTATGTATGTATTATGTAATTACTTAGACAAGTATTTTTTGGGGTTAGAATTCTTAAGTACAAAATCATATTTTATTTATAGTTAAGTAACTACACGTTACTAAGCACTTGCTTAAGCAATGGCCAATAGTCTTGGCTTAGCTGCAGATGGCAACCTTCTTTTTCTGCGTTTTTTGTCCTAGGAGACCAAAAAAGCTCTTTCATATTGGTTATATTTCTATAGTGAAATTACAAAAATAAGTGTTGAAGTCATCACAGTTGCATAAAAACTGCAACTAAGTTTCTGATCGTAAAGTATCTGTAGTAATTTGCAGTAAAATGTATAACTAGTTAATATAAATATGTGTAATATGATGCAATAGACATCAACCTCACCAAATGATAATCATTGTTATTTACTCCATTGTCTCGTAACAGAACTAGCTTCAAATAATTCTTTCGGTAACTAAACAAAAATAATAATACCTACAAAGAAATTATGTACAAATTAGTACCGCGTAAATCATCGAATGACTGCTCCCGCCTGGGTGAGATGGGAGGGAGTGTCAGACTCTTACTGACTAAAAACCACCCCGTTCCTTCTCCTGCACGTCGAGCCGGAGCCCCGGTTACCCGTTAGGTTCTCCGCGACACCGCGCAAAGGCTAAATGGACATTTCTAAATGGTCGCCGTTTAAGACGCCTTCTTCTCATGCATGAAGGTGCGGGTTCGAAACCTTCTACGGGCAAGTTACCAATGTGACATTTTCCGAGTTATATGTAGGTATTTTCTAAGATTATTTAGACACCACTGACAAACGGTGAAGAAAAACATCTTGAGGAAACCTGGGCTTATAATTTCTAATTATAAGTTTGAAATCGCCAACCCGCAGAGCCCCGGTTACCCGTTAGGTTCTCCGCGACTCCGGTTGAATTTGACTAGCTGTCAACTAACGTATTGAACCCAGGAAACATTGCAAAGTAGCGCAGCTACTGCACCAACAAACATACTCTATTACACTCATGAATCTAACATGAGTCCGCCGATCGCTCGGTTCCATGGTCGGCGCAATGGCAAGGCAACTTGGTGATGTGCAGTGTGGCGGGTTCGATTTCCGGACTGAGTAAAATTAAGTTTTCTGTCAAAAATAATTGAGACCTCCCTAGCAGAAAGATTCATAACTGCTGTAGGATCATTATATAGGGTTGATGTAACTACCTATTTAAAAGAAGCCTGTAATGGTTGCTAATAAAAAGCAATTACAAAGGCGTTAATAAAAAAAAACATTATTTGGAAAGTCATTTTATTTGAAACGAAATGTTATTAAGCTGAGGAATTGAACTATCATACAATATCTGGATGTGTCCGTTGCTACAAAGGGTACTGAGAGAACTTGTCTATTGTCCAGAGTTGGAAAAAAAACAGACTATTTTACAAAAATGGTAGGGGGCGTATGGGTGCAAATTAGAGTTGCCCGCTGCTATCTATGACGGTAAGACATGAAAGTAGTACTGAGCTTTGCTCCATTACTCATATAGAATACTATATAACTACTTCTGATATTTTAATAATACATCCTTGATTTAAAGCCCTCAGAAAAAAGCAAACATGATTTATATGATATATCTAGATAATAATACGTCAAAACTCATAATAAAAAAGTAAAAAAATAAACTAAAGGTGTGACGACAATAAGTTTTCCTAATTTGCTTCAAGTACTTCACCTCGGATAATAAACTTGACTTGCCCAGTCCTGCTAGGATTAGTTTCGTTTCTCCGTGGTGACACTCTATTTGTCTGCCGTGGTGTACTCTGCTTCCGTTTTGTAACTTTCTTCCTACGCTCTCTGTTCTTTTTTGCAGTTTTCTTCATTCCTTCCAATTCTTTCTCAGCCTCTTTCAATTCCTGCTTGAGTTCTTTTATTTTAGCTTCTATTTCTATCTTTAGTTTTTCCTGTTGTACTAATTGTTTCTTTAGTTCTTTTATCTTGTTTGCTACCGACTTTTGCGTTTTACGTGGTTTTCTAGTGGGTGGAGCGACGCCTTCTGCTGCAGCTGGAACATTTAGATTGGAGTGATTAAAGATAGATAGATATCCGAATGAATGAATGAATGAAAATCTGAATCTGTGCATATATAAAACACTTCCGTAACTTAGTTACTGACGGATTGACAACGCACAGCTCAAACTATTGGTAGTTCGCCAACCCTAGGACGCTACCACTGCGCGTAGGGGAGCAGTAAGAGAGTGGAGTTCCCTAAATTGCCACGGCATCGTGAAAAACAGGAATCACTTTATGTGTGACGAAGTAGAAGCTAGTTTGTAATAATGTAAGTTTTTTATGTTATAGGCCGGTAAACGAGCACACGGTTCGCCTGATGGTAAGCAATCAGCGTCGCCCATGGATACCTGGAATACCAGAGGCGTTCGAAGTGCGCTACCGGCCTTTTGGGGATTAGGCATAGAGGTTAAAGATTCTGTGATTGGGGAGATTGGAGGGGGGGGGGGGATTAGTCCCGCGGTAACCTCATTCATACGACGAAACATAACGCGAGCGTTGTTTCACGTCGATTTTCTGCAAGGCCGTGGTATCGCTCCCCTAGCTCTCCCACATAAGTATAATAAACTAGTTACTTTATTGTAGGCACTATCTGTATCCTTCTACATATTTTATGTTTCGTAAAAAACATAAAACTTAGCCACAACCTTCAAAAACATGTAGATTATTACTTCCACAGAGTATTTTTTGTTACAGTAATATGTTGCTTACCCTGTCTCCCGACCCTGTGCACGCCACTGGGGCCAGGTTCCTGGCAGTCTACATTTTGTGCGATTTCTCCATTAACCTGACCATTTCTGTGGTTAGCAGCCATTGTTATAGCGTCTCCGTTCACTGTAATTTTCATAATAAAACGCTTTATAGTTTTTTACATTCTCTATAATCTTTTTTTCTACAGTGCATCAGTATTTACTAAACCTACGAAAGTAAAGAGAATAGTTCCAGGATTTCTTGTACATACTTCAATCATTTCATTAATAGCCACTTCAGTACGGCGTTCCCGCTCTTTTTACATAAATTATCATTCTTATTATACGATAACTTATCAATCGCTGTTGCTATTTGAACACACTGAATGAAACAGATTAAAAAGCAAAATATTACCCGGCAGATAACATACAAAAAGGCGGGAACGCTTGGACATTTATATTTATATAAATAGATGAGTGCATTTTTAAGGTTAAAAGATTTTAATCTAGATATGTAAGTCCCTAGAAAGTCGAAGACGATTCAGCTGTCAACCGATTTTACTACCAAAAAATGAATTAGCTTAATCGGTTAACCCGTTCTTTAGTTTTACAAATGATTTATTTTCAGTTAAAATAGCATATTTCAATTACCTACCTAGACATCGGTAGGTAACGTAACTAAGATGGATACTAAATAAGAAATAATTTAAATAAATTATGTCCCATACATGGAATTATAAAAAAAAAAACTTACCGATATTAATATTATTGATCACCAAACTTACGTTAAATTGCAAAAACTTTAATGATTTAGATTCATTTCACTATTATTGTCACATATAATAATCTCACTTATGAATCAGAGATCCCAGTAACTACTTTGATTGTTTAATTTATTTATAGCGAATAAATATTAACACAACCGCTTGGTGTGGCTTCTTCCGTTATTTTGTATTATCCTCTTGATAAGAACGGTGCGAATTACGTAGGTGTATTACTACATATGTACATATGTACATACATACATGCTATTAATGCATATCATGTTTTATTACTGTGTGCGTATTTCAGTGTGATAGAAAATACTTAGGTATAGGAACCTATCGGTAGTTATGCCTAAGATAACGTTTGATATTACTGCAAGATAGCTTTTGTTAATCCCTGAAATGGTCGAGTTGTGTGACGACATACGCAAGGTGGCTTGCAATGGATGAAAAGAGCTGAAGACCGAGCTCAGTGGCGTGCCATTGGAGAGTCATTTGTCCAGCAGTGGATGACAACAGGCTGCTGATGATGATAATGAAAGGGTTGATTGGAAAAGTAAAAAATCTATACTTTTAGCTTCGTTAAATACTTACTTCGGAAAAATAATAAAAAGGAAACATAGGTGCCTAAGTTGATCTTGTCTCAATCTCAAGCTCTCATGGTTATGGAGTGATAGGGGTTTGAAATGAATTCAACGCAACGCTTAAATAATAAAAAATATATTTTGCGAGAGTATTATTATTACAATACTGGATGCTTAATTAATAAAACGATGATAAAACAGGAAAACTTTGTCAAAAATATTATAATAAAGTGACGAATGCAATTACGCGCGCTCAGAAATTATGCACAGTATAAAAATGCGCGCGCTCAAATAATGTTGTCGGCGGGATTGCTGCACAGATAATATATAGAAAACGTTTTCAAAGAATGTACTACTGTACGTTCTAGTCTTACTGAAAATATTACAAATAAAATTTCTCCTCGACAATCCTTTTCTTCACCATCACTGCTCTCTGTCCTTTTATAGGAGTCTTCTTATTTTGGGCCTTAAGTTTTTTGTTTTGGGCCAATATTTTATTCTTTTGTATTGTTTCTCTTTTCTTAATGGCTTGCAACTTCTTCTTGGTTGTATCGATTTTTTTTTTCGTCTGCTCCAATGACTTCTTGTGAGCTGCTAAATCTTTCTCTAGTTGTTTCCTTTCCTTAGTAATTAATTCTAGAGTTTTACGTGGCGTGGGCTTCTTTTTGGGTGGGGCAGCATCGTTCGTAGCTGTCAAAATAATAATATGTTTTTATAATAACTATCGTGAGACATACTAAATTAACTGAACATCGCGGATTACTGACATGAATATACTGAGAAAAGCTCTACTAGTTTCGAACCACAGAGGGGTACTTCCTTATGAGCAGGATGCGCGGTCGCGGCGAGCAGCCTACTGAGGAATCCTCATGGAGGAGCCTCACGAAGAAGAACCCCTCTGTGGTTCGAAACCAGTAGAGCTTTTCTCAGTATGTTCATCTGAGTAACCCGCGATTTTTACTTAAAATAATAATACTTTTAAAAAGTGTTCTAATAGTTGGGAGATTAGCGAATTCTCGAATATTTCTTAGTAGTATAGAGAATAGTATAGAAGAGAAAAGAGAATAGTAAGAGAAATAAGTTTGATAGCTAGGTACCTATGGCAACAATAGACTCACTCGCCCTTTTTAGAGCAAACAAGGGATTCACAATATGTTACAAAACTGGTGAAAAGTGGCAGCTGTGCACCATTTACTGTGATTATTTGTTTTGTTTAAAAAACGTTGCCCCACATTAGGATTTTCCCCTGTGTCGAGTCGTGGATGCGTTTACAAACATACACGTTTACATACATATGACACTCAGACCCCAAACAATAATTGTGGATCAGACAAAGAGCTGCTCCATGTGGGAATCGAACCCGCTACACCGCAGTGCAGTAGCCGGTTGCCCACCCACCGCGCTAACGTGCAGTCTGAAATGTAGATAAATTATCTCATTGATATAACAACGTTGGACAGATGGAAATCCTTACTTCCTTACTATATAATATATAATATAATATAATATATATAATCCTTACTAATATTATAAATCTGAAAGTGAGTTTGTTTGTTTGTTTGTTCCGCTTTCACGCCGTAACTACTAAACCGATTGCTTTGAATTTCTGGATGTCTGGATTAAATAATAGGGTACTTTTTATCCCGGAAAAATTTGATATTCTCGAAGAAAAACGAAATCATTGGTATATATGGCGCTGTGTGTATATGTCACATAGGCTACTTTTATCCTTTTGTGACGCGAGCGAAGCCGCGGGTAACAGTTAGTATTTAATAAATTATTATGGTATTTGTCTACCTGGCTGGGGCGAGCAACAGTATCCCCACGCATGGTCCTCATCGACCTCATCGCTTCCGTCGACACGATCAGTAATTTCTTCATCACTCGGACAAAAATTACTGTACTGGAACTCGTCACTCATTGTTCACTGTAATACATAAACAATAACTAATTTTATAATAAAACTAATTGATTATTAGGTTTATGGTCGTAACAGTTATAAGTACATTAATGTTAATAATAATAATAATACAGAAGGCAGTTCTCCTTGAAACGGCGCGCATTGTGAGGAGGTTTCTATCTCTGGAGCCCTAACCACCGGTAGCTTGGACCATGCTCCCACTACTGGTCGGCTCCTATTTTTATATTTTTAAATATTATTTTTTATACTGTAGTATTTAAAAATGTAATTTTAGAGAAATTTTAAATAAATATATGGAATAATAATAATAATAATAAAGTTTATTAGCAAAAAGTTACAGAAATGTACATAAGTAGACATAACAAGTGGGTGGACTAATTCTAGGCATTCCAGTTTGTTGCAAAGATTTCTGTACAGAATTATAGTAACCCTGCCTCTTGAACTAGGATATCCTGTATTTTAAGAGACAGTGTCTAGCTTATAAATTTACCATTTTTTACAACAGTGGACAATGTCGATCTGCCGTTTAAACTTGACAGCAGTAATAGTTGTGATTGTACGAGTAGAATGTGGAGTGGATGTGTAGTGGTGTGATGTGGTATCTGTTTGTTGTGGTTTTGTGTGTGAATACAGGGGTGAGTGTGTGTGGATGTATGTGTGAATATGTTTGTAGTGTACGGTTCTACATTTTAGGCGATGTAAGTAAGTAAAGACTCCGTGTATGAGTAGTCTTTCTGTAGTAGCCACTCTGTTATTGTTTGTTTTAATGTGTGTGAGTTTAAATCTATAATTTTTAAGTGTTTGTGAACTTTTTTGTAAATTTGCCCACTTAGGGTACAAAACTGGCGTTCAGCGAAAGAAGTTTTGTGCTGAATACCCGGGATAACACATGTTCGCTTGTTTGGATCGGACTTAGGAAGACTGGTATGTTTTTTAAGAATCGCTTTAAACTGTCAAACACCAAGCGGTCACCGGTGACCGCAACCTATTGTTCTATAATTGTGTCTACAAAACCGGTACTCGACGAGTTAACCACAAAGAGTTGGCGAACCGAAAGGACTCTGCAATCAGAGTAGAGTTCAATAGTTGGATATCTATATGGTTTTTTCATCATGACTTTTAAAATCGCTCTCTGTGCTCTCATCTCTCTACATGTTACACAGTAGGTAGGCAAAACAATAGCGTTAAAAAATATTTATTTAATTTAATACACGAATTACAATTGGAACTAGTCTAAATGATTCAGAGCTACGACGATTATTCCGATTATAAGAATTCCGAATAGAATGTAAATGATGTTACAAGGCATGTTAATACTATACTCGTGTGTATGTTTTGCCCAACAGATGGCGCAATATTTTTTTATTTTTTTTTTCTTCTTTGGCAACCGAGTCTCCACAATGGTGTTGTCGACTATACTGCCAGTGTCGAGTGGTGACGGCAAAATTATTGGGCCGTCGAACTTAACTTTGTGGTAGTTTTTAGTTGTTAGTAGCTGAAAGGACAAAACAATTGGGTTAGTAAACTTAAACATTATCAACTATTTTATTGTACACAATCATGGGACATACACAATACAGACAGATATTAATATACATCATTGGACACCGTCACATTTTGATCTCATTTCCATTCATAAATTTACATATACAAATAATTAATTTGTGGGAAAAGTGAGTTAAAAGGAGGTGGAAACTGGTTGGGAGTGGGATTTGGATACTGGGAAGTTTTTTGTAGAGGTCAAAGGATTGGGAATTTAAAGGACACGAAAAAAATATGTGATCTAAGGTTCCCTCATCAAGGCCGCATTCGCACAGCGAGCTGTCGCGGACACGGATCTTGCTGAGGAAGACCGGACTACAACAATGGCCGAGTCTGAGCCTACACAAGGATAAAACATTATGACGGGGAAGCTTAGGGTACTTGGAAAACCAAGGTTTCCGTCAGATGCCGGGCTGGACAACTGCATAGTAGGCACCTTTCCGTTTGGAAGTTTCTACCCACTCTGCAGCCCATGAGTCAAACAGCTTGTTTTGTGTCGGCACGTATATCATACCCGTACACAACGTAGTGTTGGCGTTCGACATCATTCGAGGCCGCAAATTTGGCCAATGAATCCGCACACTCGTTACCACATATACCAGAGTGACCAGGAATCCAAGCGATCTCGATATTTATGTCATCTTTGAAGCAAGAAAAAAGAAGCGCCTTTATCTCTACAACCAAACTGCTATGAGTTCGGGAATGGAGCTGGTCTTGGTTGATAGACTGTAGGCTACTTCGGGAGTCGGAAAAAATAACAGAATTTTTAAGGTTGTGCGCTCTAATGAATTTTATTGATTCCAAAATGCCAACACATTCTCCCGTGAAGACAGATGCTTCCGGGGGACACTTGGAGAGGAGGGCGATCTTCGAATTTTGGAAGTACGCTGCTACTCCTGTACTTCCATTTCGGGATAGTTTAGACGCGTCGGTGAAGAAAATATTCCAGCCCCTCCAGTAATTGTTCAAAGCGCGCCCAAACTCGCCCGCAGCATCCACGGAGGATTTCGAGAGGATTCCGAGTCCTAGAATTATCTTTGGCCTGAAGTGGATAACCTCATATGCGGAAGAGAAAACCGGGAGTACAGGATATTGCCTGATGGGTGCAGAGAGGTTTTTAAGCTCCCTGTACCTGACAATCACGGGAGTGACAGGTTTATTGTTCCAGTAGGAAGAGGACCTATAGGAACAGTGGATTTGTTCTAGGATAGGAAGAAGGGGGTGTGATGAGAGGGAGAGGACTTTTGAGATGAAGCGGTCTGCCAGGTATTGTCTTCGAAGGTTGAGGGGAGGCTCTACACATTCAACCTGAAGAGCATTTATGGGGGATGATTTCATAGCTCCGATAATTATTCTAAGGCATTTGGCCTGAATGGAGTCTAGTTTTTTTAATGCACCCTTATTGCAAGGAACAATAAGGAAGCAACAGTAGTCCATTACACTTCTGACCAATGTATTGTAGATGAGCTTCAATGAGTAGGGGTGAGCACCCCACCATACCCCGGCCAGAGCTCTGAGTATCGATACTGAGCGTTCACATCTTGCAACCACATTGTTTATGTGATCCGCCCCAGACATCTTTGAATCGAGATAAACCCCCAAGAATCTAGCACTGCTTTTGATTGGGATATCCTGACCGTCTATCTCTACACGAAGATCCGGAGTGCGTCGTTTGCGTGTAAAAATGACAGCTGAGCTTTTTGGGGCGCTTAAAGATAACCCGTGATTCAGAAGCCATTGGTTTAATGAGGCCAAAGAGACGTTGATGGAGTGGGCGGCGTCTGTTATAGAGCTGTTAGTAACCATTAGTGCGATATCGTCAGCATACTGAAGGACATTACAGTTAAAATTTAGACAGGAGGGAAGGTCATATGTATAAATGTTATAAAGGATGGGGCTAAGGACTGACCCCTGAGGTAAACCTTTCCAGGAGGACCTCCGTACTGGGTTATCCTCAGGAGTTCTTAATTGGAGGGTACGATCGGAAAGGATGTGGGCTATAATTCGGCAGATCCTACTCGGGATTCTCAGCTTTTGCAGTTTCTGCCTGAGAAGGGGTAAGAGGACAGAATCATAGGCCGCTGAGATGTCCAAGAAGACTGCGACCAACGACTCCTGCCTGCTAAGGGCCAGTCGGATGGCTGAAGTGAGGGTACCCACACTGTCAGCCGTACCCAGACCTTTCCTGAAGCCGAACTGAGTCGCCGGAAGCAGCCCCTGGCTCTCAACCAACCATTCAAGGCGGTTTTTGATGAGGTGTTCAAAAGTTTTAATAAGTATGGACGATAGGGCAATAGGTCTGTACGACAAATGGTCACCAGGGTCCTTGCCAGCTTTTAACAGCGGCATAATAACCTGAACCTTCCAGGTAGGAGGAATATAGCCTGAAATAAAGCAAAAATTGACCAAGTCAAGGTAGTATTGCTTCGCTTTAGTTCCTGCTTTAGTTAGGAATGAGTAGGGGAACCCATCAATCCCTGGTGCCGAGTCCTTCACATGATTGAGTACCGTTTGAAGTTCTTCAGGTGAGAACTCCAAATCGAGCGGGTCATGAGACTCGGGTCGCTCAATCTCATGGGATTTCAGGCAGCATTCATCTGCAGTAGGAACATACGTTGGAGCAATGTGGTTGAAAAAACTGTTACTCAGAGATTCGGGTAAGGTGGAGATAGTGGGAGGTTTGGTGGAGTTCCTAAAGTTTTTAACTCTCTGCCAAACTTTGGATATTGGTGTCGATGGGTTTAGTGAACCACAATATCTCTGCCACCCTTGTCTCTTCTTTTTCTTGAACAATTTCCTTGACTTAGCCAAAATTCGCTTGAAATTTAGGAGGTTTTCCAGGTTCATATCTTGGTTATATGTCTTTTCAGCCGCATTCCTAGCTCTTATCATGGCAGTGCATTCACTATCCCACCATGGTGGAGAAGGGATATTGCCTTTCGGTGCATTTTTCACAGGAAAGCAATCTTCGGCTGTGGAGGATATCAGGTCGGAAAATTTGGAGAAACATTCCAAAGAATTCTCATTGTTAACTGGTGGAAGGAGAGAAATGCGGAGGTCTAATAATTTAGAGTAAAGATCCCAGTCTGCGGAATCTAAACGATATCTTAATAGGGGGGGAAGGGGTTTATCTGGGATGGATTTTGACAGGTGTTTAATTATGATGGGGTAGTGATCACTACCATAGGTCAAATTTAAACAACTCCAATTTAGCACGCTAGCCATAACAGGCGAGCAAAAGGTCAAGTCCACACAGCTGTTTCTTTGACCAAATGCAGACCTACGAGTAGGGCTGCCATCATTAATGACACACAGATCGAGTTCGTCCAGCATCTCAACTAGCTCATTACCCATATTATCACAAAAATCTGAACCCCATCTATAGTGATGGGAGTTAAAGTCACCCATAACAAGTAATGGGCCACTTACTGAGGTAAGTAAATTTTTAATCAAAATAAGGTGGTCAACATGAGGGTGAGCAATGTAAAATACAAATATATTTATGTCCTCAGCCTTAACAGCGACAACATTTATGTCATCGCCAACGAAGGGTAGAGGGATCTGGGAGAAGGGTACTTTGTTATTAATTAACAAAGCACACCCTCCATAACCATCAGATCTGTCATGTCTGACAACACTGAAACACGGGATCCCGAAATTGATATTTGGTCAAAGCCTCTTTTTTATTCATCAAGTGGAGTAAGTCACTCTTCCTGGGAAGAGTACTCCTCACGTTCCACTGAAGCAGTGTTAGAGGTAGGAATTTTACAGATGTAATCAAGAATTGTTGAAAGCTTGTGTGCGACGTGGTCCGGTACAGTTTGGGCAGGGTTTGATAGTACTGCCATGAGCATATCAGAAACTATATTAAGAATGTACTTGGAGCTACGAATGTTGGTTCCGGATTCCACAGGGAAAGCGCAACCGTTTTTGGATGGGGAGTAAGTGTGGTCTTGGATAAGGGCCTGATGAGCCTTCTTATCATAGCTAGGAGATAGGGGAGCATGTGATTTAGGTTTAAGGTGTATAGTTTTTTTATAGGAGACTCTTTGTTGGGATGGTTTTTTATTAGGAGATGGATCAATGAGGTTGACTGATCTTGAGACCTCAGCATAAGACCTTTTTACAGAAGGGAAAACCTGGCTTGCTTCCGCATATGAAATTGATTTTTCAGCCATCAGAGCTTTGATGCTCTTCTGGCGACCCAATTCAGGACAAGTTTTGTCATTAGCAAAATGGGTGCCATTGCAATTGACACAGGTGGCATCTGACGTCTCAGCTGGAATCTGGCATCCACCCCTGGATGATCCTGGCCACACTTGAAACAATGTGGCTTGGAGCGGCAAAGAGTGTGGGTATGCCCAAAACGGCAACAGTGATAACACTGTATGGTAGGGTATGAGTATAGTTCTACCGGGAGCGCTGAGTAAAAACAAAACACTTTTTTAGGTAGTGTTTGGCCGTCAAAAGTAAGCACTACGGTTTGGGTAGGCTTCCACTCGGTACCGTTTGGAGTTGAGACTCTGCGATTCATCCTCCTAGCTTTTATCACAGCCCCACACCCGGTGAGAACCCTGATGTTACCAATGATTTCGTCCTCTGTCCATTCCACAGGGACGTCCCTGACAATGCCCATTCGGGTAATATTAAATTGTGGGATCGAAGTTGTATAATTTTGAGCTACCATACCGTTTACTAAAAAGCTGTTAGCATCCTGGTGCATCACAAACTCAACCGAAACTCTATTCCTCCCCAGTCGTTTGACACCACCGATCTTAACATTATTAATGTTTAGTTTCATTAAGAACATACCAAACTTAACTGGGTGAAGCGTGGTGCCAGACGTCTGGGAGTCCTTAAGAGACACATAGACTATGTAAGGGGGATTGTCCCTGGCCGTGTAACATTGCCTACCATTTACACTTTTTGCCAATTTCGGGGGGTTGTTTTGGGTGATAAGGGGGGAGCCTGCGGGTCGTTTCCGGGATTTTGAAACTTCCGCGTCCATTATTTCGATATCCGGGGTGTTGGGAGGAAGGGTAATTGTGACGATAGTTTCCGTCTCATATTCCGGGGATTTATCGGGATCAGGAGGATCGGGTGGCTTCACCTCGTCCATTTCGAATTAAAAAGATGCGGATGGGCAGAGGAAATAATAGAATAAAATATACTTAAAAACACCAATACCTGATTAAAACTTACACACACATACACTTAACCAACACAAAAACACAAAATTTAAAAGATTTCAATTTAGATCACAATGAAATAGATCACTTAATTGAAAACAAACGTAGGAATGACAAAAGCACGTGCGTAGCCTTCACCACTACCAACGAAAGTCCTGGCGCGCAATATTGTAAGGGATTGTTTTGTCCAATCACAGCAGCTGTCAAATATTAAACAGCTGTCAAATGTTGTCACAGACCTACTATAATAAAATCTATGAATGTTGTGACTCTAGCTCATGCCCTATTGGACGAATAACGAGAGGTGCACACTAGCGCAATCTAGTGAGCAAGAATACGGTGGACCCCGTTGCAAGTTAATGGGTACAAAGTATGTTTGTAAACTAATGATAATTATGAATAATATACTAATTAATGAACCTAAAGATGTTTATAAACTAATTATATTTATACATAAATTATGATCATAAAGATATGTAAATTAAATAAAGTGTTAACTAATGATAAGTTCTATCACTATCAAAACATAAAAATGAAGAAAAACATAAGTGAAAGTCGGGTCCTAAATCACTACAAAGTATTTATTAAACAAAGTCGTTTTCTGCTGTCTGTCCCTATGTACGTCCCTACCTATCCCTATGTACGGTACGGCAAAGTTTACGGTACACTTTTAAACAAAATTCTATGGCAAACTCGCTATCCACGCTATCTTGCCTGCGGTCGTTTATAGTATATCTTTAGAACTACACAACGGTGCTTCTAAAGTGTCCTGCTCTTATGGGCGGTGGTGGACTTTTACGAAGGTTTGTTATAAAAAACAAAATTATAAACTTACCAAATTGACAAAGTCCAATGTGAGCTCCAAATCAAGCACTCAGACGACGCACGCTTCGAATGATTTTTGCATAGATTTGCACTTACGTTTCATTACATTACTAGATACTATTCAGAATAGCTTTTAAGTTGTAAAAAGCTTTTATTTATGGGTAGAAACTTTTATGGAGAACTGAAGTTTATTTATTGTTTAATTGTATTTAATTAAATGGTTAACAACACGATGGCGAACTTGATTTCATTACGTTACCGAACTAACGCAGAGATAAGCACCACGCAATATGAAACTGCTACCACTTCAAATATAGGTCTGCATGTGTGAGTGACAAGGCCGGTTGTGTTAGTAAATAAGGAGCATACGTATATGTATATGCATCGTAATCACAAGCTCATACATTCTACGAGTGAGTCATAGTCAGAAGTACCTAGGTACCTACCTACTTAGAGACGTCCAACTTTGAAAGCCAGATTGTTCCCTGCTGTATAGTTTTGCGATTGAAATATCGATTACTTATATGAACACTAGCTTTTACCCGCGGCTTCGTTTGCGTCACAAAAGGATAAAAAGCCAACATGACATATACCAATACACACAGCGCCATCTATACCAATACTTTTGTTTTCCCTCGGGAATATAAAATTTTTCCGGGATAAAAAGTACCCTATTATTGAATCCGGAATTTCTAACTATACATCTGCAAAAATTCAAAGCAATTGGTTTAGTAGTTATGGCGTGAAAGCGGAACAAACATACAAACTCACTTTCCGATTTATAATATTAGTTTAGGGTGCGTTCTCATCTCGCGAGACACTCGCAAGCGACACGCTTGCTTTTAAAATACCTATATACATATATTTTATACAAACCTCGTATGAGCACCAAACCATTACCGTGAGACAGTGACTGCACGCGCGCCATTTGCCATATGTGGACGCACCCTTAGGTATACTTTTGTTTATGGCGTAAGCCGGTAAACGAGCAGACGGATCACCTGATGGTAAGCAATCAGCGTCGCCCATGAACACCTGGAACACCAGAGGCGTTACAAGTGCATTACCGGCCTTTTGGGGATTAGGAGTTTGAGGATCGTTGGGGATTCAGGGATTTGGGGAAAGGGATTGGGTCATTGGGCCGCCGGTAACCTCACTGCACGACGAAACACAACGCAAGTATTGCTTCACGTCAGTTTTCTGTGAGGTCGTGGAATCCCTTATACTTACCTACCTGTCAGTATATTTTCATGTTAAATAACAATGGCAGGGACCTCTTTACCTGATCTCAAACTAGGCATGCTTATACATCATACTGCGAAAAGCACATCCTTGTAGTCAGTGGCGTAACGGCGTGGCGTGTCCAGTGGAAAATTAATCGGATAGGCTAGGCTAGAACTTCTCTGTTTGATAATGGGACCCCGTTTCCAATATCAAATAGAGAAGCTCAGATGAAAACGTCTGAACGTAAAGGAAAGAGCTTTCCAGCTGGGTGCCTATGGCATTTAGCCGACTTGCCACCCTGTAGTTGTGCCACTGTTTGTAGTGCTACAGACTTGCAGCAGGTATTACATAATTGTGTATTATTGGACATTGCTCAATGCACATGCTGCATGCTGCAGGCTTACCTACAACAATATCCAGCACTTTTTTTAATGTAACCGAACCCTTGATGGGTCGGATAATATGTCGTAGTCTCTAAACATTGGAAATGAGATCTATAATGGAGGTGGGTGAGAGAAGACACCAATGTCTTCTTGGTGTGTTGGCGGCTTTGGGCTGTTTGAACAATGTAACGGAGAAGAAACAAGAGCAATTATAGATAGGTACGTAAATTAATTTATTGATATTTTTTATTTTCTGAACTCTTAGTGAGGAATACAACTCATAGCTATTTTAAAAGTATAAAGTTAAATAAAACATAATTTTTATTTGTAAACCTACCTAATCTAGTTGTTTTTACAAATATTTGAACATAAAAGTCTTTTTGGACTTGACAGTACTGCTTTGTACCAAACTCTCGGGTTTTGGCATCGGTGGGGGCGGCGGAGGTGGAGGTCCTGATTTGACACTATTACTTACTGGCACTGGGTTTTGAATCTTAATACTGATATCTACAGGTTCACTATTTAAAATACGGGTTCCATATATTGAAACTGGAGGGCAAACTTCGTATCCCAATTTGGCGTAAAAGTTTTCCTGCCCTTTTGTTGATAAATGAAGCATTTTTAAATTTAACACATTTTTACAATATTCTTCAACTTGTCTCATTAGGTAACTACCAAGTTTTTTGCCTCTCATTGATTTACTTATAACTACAGTTTCTATAAAACAGCTTTCTGGTATACTGGGTATTGGAGTCAATTTACAATGTCCTAGAAGGTGCTTTTTATCATTTACAAGAATTAAACTCGTTGGTAAATTGTTGCATGATGCTTGCAGCGACATCATCCGAGCTGTCTTACTGCGTGGCCACTCATCGTTGATTAGTTCGCAACACGGCTTCAAATACTGGGGGTTTTCGTGTAAACGTAATACTTGAAGGTCCTCTGCATCCATTTTTATTAAGTCTGAAAAGAAATGATGAGTTATTGGTACAATTATAATTTTACTTTTGCAACCCAATGATTTTGACAAGTGAATGATAAATTGACATTGACAAACAGATCCGCCGAGCCGCGCGCGAGCGAGCTTAAATGTCAAAATTGAGATCGAGCCATCGAGGTTATAATTTAAATTATATTTTTCTACGACTACTGTTGCTGTACAATATCACACAAACTATCCATGACAAAACAACAAAGTATACTTACAAGTTAATCAAAATCCATTTCTAAAGCTATACTTCACATTGGCACAATATTTGTGAATTTTATCTGGTTAATGTTTGATGCATATTGTGGTCAGCGGAGACGGGCACAAACTAACCTATTTATAGCTGTCACACGCATGTTTTGAGCAGTCACTACTGTACAGCACGTCTGTTATAGTGTGATCTAACTTATTACGACATTAAAAGTAAAAGTAGCTAAATATAGTTTGATTAGATAATGCAGAATGCTCAGACATTGCCTCCAGTCTAGATTTGAAATAGTTCTGCATTCATTTACTTATTATATACGCTTCTGTAATATCATTACAAAGAAATCAAAATTCAAGTATAATATTATGACTTACCATGCTTTTACCAATAATATAGTAAAGATGAAATGATTGAAGCTCTACAATTTATATAAACTTTACATTAAATTATTGACACTTGTATTAAAATTTGCTATCAATATCAGATTATACTCATATCAGTACCTATCACATTTCATTGAAGTCATAGTTTCACAGTTAATTCTGACTACCTGTACTATTATATATCTGGGTAAATAAGTTTAAAAATTGTAAAACCACCTACAATAGAATTACAAATATGATCCATCATTGTCTAATATAGAAATATAATTCCAAAACTAAAAATCAAAAACAAATATTTTAATGTATTAAATCCTATTTTATTTTATTTCTTCAATTACATTAAGATTAAATTTTTTAATCCTCCTTTTGCACTTAGTCTAATCATGGCTTCCAAATACACAAAAAAATTAACACTAGAACAATATGTAGAAATAATGAAGTTTCTGTAAAGTACCCACATGCTATTTTAACTGTACCCCTCAAGACAAAAAATATACTAAATATATAAGTACCTATTTAACAAATTGCTTGAGAAGATGATATTAAATCCTGTTTATATTAATGCTTTATTAGGTTAGATCATTGAGTCATGGATGCAGACGATGATGTTCCTGCACTCTCTGCAGAGACATTCGCAGCCCTCCAGGAGTTCTATGCCGAGCAGCAAAAACGACAGGAGATACTTGACAAGCTCGAAGCTGATAATAAGCTAAAGGAGAATATTCTGTTTGATGAAAACTGGGTAAGAGACATAATTAGTGACACTCATTTATATTTATATACTATACTAGCAGCCCGTCCCGGCTTCGCACGGGGTAGACAATTTTTTTTTTTTCAAAATGAAATGTAGCCTATGGCAAATGAGAAGAATGTAGCATTCTATTGGTGAAGGATTTTTTTAAATCAGCCCAGTACTTTTTGAGCCCATTCATTACAAACATACAAAAATAGGTACAAATCTTTCCTCTTTACAATATTTTATACTATATTTATATTGTATGTATACTTAGTTCTGATTTTAAACTGTTAAACACCAAGCGGTCACCGGTGACCGCAACCTATTGTTCTATAATTCTGTCTACAAAACCGGTAATCGACGAGTTAAAACACTTGCTTTTCACAAATTAAGCGGAATTTTAGACATAATGTTGGAAATAAGCAAATTATATTCTTCCTCTGTTTAGCAAATGAACCAAAGAATCATTAATAACTGCATATTATTGGTTGTCACACCTGATTGATGGCATTAAATTCCCTTTTATTATGGGACTGTATCGCGAAAAGCAACTGCCTCCTAGAGAATAAAGTGTGTGTAATATAATATTATTTATCTTGCCAGTTGCCATAGCATGTATTTGAAATTGTATATTCGTAAACACACCCACAATACATTGGAAAATCCTAGTGCAGGGCAACATTTTATCCAAAATCATTATTTCTGTTACAGCAACTGAGCCAGTTCTGGTACGACGAGTCGACGGTGCAGACTCTAGTACGTGTTGTGGATAAGACACTAGGCGCAGGGGGGCGCGTGGCGCTTATCTCTTGCCCCACACTCTTCGTGCCAGTCAAACGACAAATTGGTGATAGAGCTACAGGTACACAGCTGATTATTTATTATTTTTATTTTTTTTTATAGCGTAAGCCGGTAAGCTAGCAGTTGGATCACCTGATGGTAAGCAATCGGCGTCGCCCATGGACACTCGAAACACCAAGGCGTTACAAGTGCGTTACCGCATTTTGGGAATTTGAGGATTGTGGAGGATTCGGGGATTCGGAAGACGGGGACTAGGGAGGGGGATAATTGGGCCTCCGGTAACCTCACTCACACGACGAAAAACAACGCAAGCGTTGTTTCACGTCAGTTTTCTGTGAGGCCGTGGTATCACTCCGGTCGAGCCGGCCCATTCGTGCCGAAGCATGGCTCCGCCACACTTATAGTCCCATTATCCCACACTCCCACATTTAAACAAACTATATGGGTTTATAATTACACTGTTTGAAGAAGTGAGAATTGATTAAAGTCCCATTGATACTTGAAACTAATCCAGCTCTCTTCTATACTCAACTACTGACTCAGTATTTAGTATTTTTTTTATATTATCTAACAGAAATTGGTAAAGGAAGCAGGCGACTCTATCCAAATTAACTATTTTATATCCACATAGATAGATGAAGTTGTGAGGAAAATATATCTAGTTTAATAACACTAATAATGAATATTGTTTCAGTGACTCTTCTAGAATACGACCGTCGTTTCGAGGTGCATGCTCCAGACTTTGTGTTCTACGACTACAACTGTCCAGACAAGTTGCCTCCAGAACTCCTAGGCTCCTACGACCTGGTGGTAGCTGATCCTCCTTTCCTTTCCGAAGAGTGCATCACTAAAACTTCGCAGACTATTAAACTTATGGCCAAGGATAAAATAATAGTGTGTACAGGAGCCATAATGAAAGATAAAGTGAAAGAATTGTTAGGACTTAATTTGTGTGAGTTTCAACCTCATCATAGAAACAACTTGGCCAATGAATTCTCTTGTTACGCTAATTTTGAATTAGATGACATTTTGAGATGATTCATCCATTTGTATGTTGGTTTTTAAGTGTATAATGGCATGTATTGTTGTTCTAATAGTAAATATAAAATATTGTATATATGAATATGTAAACTACATAATGTATAAAGCAGGAATTGAAATGTCAATAAATTGAATATTTCAGAAAATACTATGTATTTGAATTTCTTTGTGGTACATTAGTGTGGATTTTTAACCGGAGAACACATAATATATAGATGACTAAACAATAAAAGAAAAATAATCAACGAGATGAAGACTTTAAAGTCATAATAGTATCTCAGATTTTATTTTCTCAACAGATATATTTTTGTTTAACACTAGCGGACCACGCTAACTTTGTTTAGCTTTGTTTTTCTGCCCACCTTTGTTAATTCTTTTTACATAATTAAATGTAATTGGTAATTGGTGTAGCTGCTCTCGAGATTTTTTACGGGATAAGCCGGTCAACGAATAAACGTATCACCTGATGGTAAGCAAGCGGCGCCGGCCATAAACACTTGAAACACTGCATTACAAGTGGGGATTTTGGAAATTGGGAATCTGAGGATTGTGAAGAATTCGGGGAGATTGGAGAGGGATAATTGGACCTCCGATAACCTCACTCACACGACGAAAAAACACAGCGCAAGTGTTATTTCACGTCAATTTTCTGTGAGGCCGTGGTATCACTCTGGTCGAGCCGACCCATGGCTCTCTCATGGCTAATGCCGAAGCATGGCTCTCCCATACTCAAAATTTGCTCTTAGCAACACATTCAGCGATTTATATATGTTAGATAATTATGAAAACAGAATAAAACAACTCACATTTGTAAAACATTCCCGTTTAATTGTTCATCTTAACAAAACTAATATATTTGTTACATTACATTATGCTGGTAAACATTCAGGTTTATTATTTCTCTCAAATTGATAATAATTCATCATTGCAATTTATTAGTCTAAGATTAAAATACATACATTTATTAACAACCCAGGGATAGAAGTGTGACGACCTACAGTTACCCGACTGCACCACACAGAAGAGGAGTCTTGTGTTTATTACCTACATAATAAATTATTCAATTAGTTGAATAAATTCTGCTAACTAAAAATGAGCAAGCCGTCACACTGATTATCCGCGAAGTACACATTTCATATATTTTTTATAGACATTTAATATATTTTAATTTTCGTGAATGAATCAACTGAATAATAATGACGAAAGTTCTATTTTTATTATGTAACAGTCAAAACTCTTTATAAATTACTTTGTGACTGAAACATAGTTAATATACTATTGTTTGATGTTATATTTTGTAATTTGTAGTCTTTTTACTGCTGGTAGATCATTTTATTTAATAAGTTAAAACTGTTACATTATTTACACATCAATATATTTTTTTCAATCCAGAAACCTATCGTTATATTAAAATATCAATGGACACCTTCATTTATTATTATTACTATTTAATAAATTCATCACTTATCACTATTAAATAAATTATTGAATTCTATATTACAATTGCTGTTCAAATTGAATGAAACATTTTGGTTTTAATACATGTATGGTTTGTATAACATATATATATTCAATATTATGTATATGTAAATTCGGAATATATATATATAACGATTATTTATTTGTTAAGTAAAATAAAGCGATTTGATTGGTTAAAATCCTGTCAAGTTTAAGTCAATTTAACCATTCTATATATTCCTATAATAAAAACAAAAAAATGAAATTTGTACTAAAAATAATATTTATCTTCATACTTACTGATGAATTGAGATAATACCTATATAGTCACAACTAAATAACCATAAAAATTACACATGTGTGAAAAATTATTCACAACAAAAATAATTAATTTTCTTAGAATTTTATTTTGTAGACAAGCTCACCAATCACCAGATCGAATTCAACCTTAACGTCTCAGGTATAAAGTTGCAAATATAATGACGAAATATGCTGATCCTACATTTTATAGGATTGCATTTATTGTTTCACCTCATGGTCAGTTATCAACTTCGACACTTATAACACCGGAGGAATCACTAGTGTGTAGTCGGTTTTATTTTCAAATTAATACTAATTTTCAAGAAGTTTAGACAGTAGAAGTTCTTTTATTATATTATATACTTTATTTATTTATTTATTTATTATAACTATCTACAAGGCCGTACTATCCTAGTCCAAGTTGGCTGACAAGCCAATTTTTATTATTATAATATTTTTCATATTAATTTAAATTAACTAAAGTTGAAATAAATACTTAAGACAATATGCATTGAGGCTCATAGCGAAATTAGGCCTTATGTTAATAGAAATAAAACTTGTAATTAAAAAAAAATATAGATTTACCTAAAAGAGAGTGCAATAAGCCAAACAAAACTTATTTATGGGAAAAATATTGCATCTATTTTGTGCATTTATAATTAAAAACGAAAAATCATATTGTGTATGTGTGTCATATCTGAACTAGAAAACGACTGAACTGCTATTAATAAAAAGTTTGAGTGCTTCCACACGATAGATGGCGCTGTAACCGTATAATGTTCAACTAGTCAGTTTTAATTTAAAGGAATGATCTCACGATAGTCTAGTACGCATGCGTAATGGCTTTCCGTTAAATTTGAAAGCTCAAAGAAGCAATACCGTCGCGAGGTTTTATTTATAACTATTTTAGTTAAGTTAATACTAACCGCCGTACTTAGAGTTATTTTAACATTGCCTTAGCAATGGCCGGGGCTGCGGACAACCGCAAGCGTACCTGGGCTCCGGCTAGAAGCAGGAGAAGGAACGGAGTGGTTTTTAGTCAGTAAGAGTCCTACCCAGGGCGTGAGGAATCATTTGACAGATTTCCCTTCTCAAAGAAAAACCGTTAGCAATTGTTATCAGAACAAAGTCGTTATTGGTATAGTTTGAAGTAATCCTTAAATGCCTCTGAGTACGGCCGCAAGAAATTGTTAAATTTAACTAAAACCAAAAGATTTTTCTATAAGAAAGTGTCTAAAAGAAGAACTATGATCACAACCTAATTCAGTTATATATTTAACTGGATTGTCTTTTAACTGTCACAGAATGGAGTTATGTGAAATAATAATAATGTGTATTATGCCGAGTGACCATTTTACACCAGTATTCAGGCTTCTTCCGAGGGTATCGTAGACTAACTACAGAACTATACATTTAACAGAAACTGGACAGTAGTGCCCTCTGTTAGGGCTCGTACACAAAACTGTGATGCGCTGTGATGTGAATTCGCAACGCAAAAAATTACGATGCAAATTGCTGCAATGCGATTTCATGCAACAAGGCGTCTCCCAGGGTGACCATTCCTTCGACGACCGTCAATCATATTAAACGTATGTATTTTAAATTGAAAACTAGATTGCGACATGGATCGTAAAAAGAAATGTGCACTTTTACAATTGCTTAGGAAATACAGGAAAAAGAAACAGAAGATTTTGGGAAGATAAGATTTCGATGCGCGATGCGAATCAATTCGTAAATTCATGCGATGCGTAGAGGGAGCTCGCACATTTTTGCGATGCGACGTCGCATCGTAGTTTTATGTACGAGTCCTTATACATGAACCCTTTGAAACTGGTTTCCACCCTGCTTGCAAAGCATGAGAGATTATGGAACCCAGTATGTAGATGACGTCAATAGTCCAGGACTGTCACAAGGTACTATAAAAACTATGTATAATGTGTAAGTTTAACTGCTATACCTTTTGTAGCTATAGATAACATTTATATTTTTTATTAATGATCAATATTAAAATAGTTCTATGTAGGTATTTGTGTATGTATGTATATGTATTTATTTAATATGTATCTACGTATGTATATGAAAGGTCAAATCTGTATATTTGTGACTATTATGTCCTCACAAAAAATTAAGGGAACAGTTATGTCAAAATTCCTGGTAATAATTATCATGGTAATAAAATCGAGTTCTGTTTTGTTCTGAACTATTTAAACCATTAAACCAATTTGGAACTAGCGCATAGTTTAATTAAGAAGACTGATCGACATGCAATATTGACTTCTTTACATATTTTTTGACTTCTAAAAGATTACTGGAATAAATGACTGAGAATTCCCAACAAGAATTATTATTATTATACTCGTCCCTTAATTTTTGTTAGAAGTTCAATTGAAACCTTTAGTTTGTCTATAACAAGTGTGTAGTGTTCGATCAAGATATACATATCTAATAGAAAAATATATATATGAGATAAAACAGTTTCCTAATAATTGAATGGTAAGGCCTACTTGGTACGATGATTACATATATGTATTTATTGTCTAATGAAGTTAGGCCTCAAGACTTATGGCCCATTTCACATACGCTGGATAGCCACTATGAAAATAACGTATATAAACCACAATAGCAGGAGCCTATGTGAGAGTTTTATAATCTTGACATTTATTAATGCTTTTGAGACAATTGTTAGGGCAAGGACCGTGTGAAAATGCCTCACCATTTCGGTTCTAGTTACGTTCTCACTGTCAATATTTGTGAGACAGAACCAAACGTTATTTTAGTTGACATTTTCTTCGGACCCGTTTATTAAGCTAAATATAATCTGACACATGCGTACTGCCGTCAGAACGGGTTCACTTACACCCAAATACTCAATATTAAGTTGTACGTAAATATCGTGCCATCCCTGTCATTTTACAAAGAATTTTTAGTGACAAATATATACTTACGCGCGACTTAAAATTAAGTAGCGTTTCAGTATTCGGGCATTAGACTGGTGCAGTATTTTCCTTAAAAGACCACTGTAGAAACAGAATGAATTTGCACGGTTATCGGATATAGGTAATTTTTATATTTGACTGCATTTTAAGAGACTAACCTCAGAGTTTGTTACGGCATTTTTCTCCGCATAGTCGTTATTTAGCAAATACCGGCCTCATTTACTATTTTGTAGCCTATTTACAAAAAACAAATTCATATAATTTCAGTGTGAAACAGGCCCTTAACATGTTGTACCTACCTCATACAGGTACCAGATAATTTGATTGGTAGATGGTTCATATAAATTATATAATTTAGTAGAAAGTGGCTATCCAGAGTCAGTGGAACCAGTCAAAAATGCAAAATTCTCTATCGTGTCTCTTATAGCTGCAGTTATGAGAACAAAAAGGTATTAAGCGAGGTACAGTTTTGTAGTTCTTATTCTCAGACTTTCTTTTAGATGTATTATTTAGTTAAATTGTTTTATTTGTAATCCAATTGTTAACATAGTTTTGTTGATAGGATCACTATAGTATAGTTTTATAATATTTTAGTGTGGAGTGGAATTAAAATTCTACAGTACCATTAATTTTATTTGTTGAAGTAAATGTGTAGAGTTTTTAATATTATATTTTATTACGCCGAGTGAATTTTTTACACAATGAGAATTTGTTGCAAGTCATGCATGAAAATAAATAAATATCACAAAATTATAAAATAAAAAAATGTGTGAACATCTAGAATATAAAGTAACATACAAAATGACTATCAGAAAGCAAAATATTAGAATAAGATTAAAGCGAGAAGATAATATAATAGTACAACAAAAATAAAACTAAAAATTGTGCATGTTAGTTGCTAAACACTAAATAATAATTATAACACGAATCATACGTTCAGTACAATTTTTATAACTATAATATATCTATTTATAATTTATACCTCCAGCCGTCCTGTGTACGGATGAACCTCATTCATGAACTCGCCACGTAGAAAAATATATTACGTCAATTTGGGTGCTTTATACAGGGTGCTCTTACATATAGAGACACCGTGTGGACTCTATTAACTAGCTATATATATGGTGATATATTTCCGCCACCTCGGAGGGTTAGAAACTACATGAGTTTGAGGCTAATTTATAGATTGTTTTCTACTTTCTTTTAACATTCAATATTCGGTAGATGTAGCTCTATTCTCTGATATTATCTAAGTCTCAATCTCTGATACGTTACATCCATCTACTACACAGATAGCAGTCATTATCACCCTGTATTAAAACCATCATCTAATTCTTCTATATACTTTTTATACCACCAACCGTATGATAGAATCGTTAAACAATACTACTGGAAAATCTTCGCTAGTCAAAATTATAAATTAAATATATATATACGCACCAAGTCCACAGTAAAAGGCAGTGAATCAACTCGGTTAAAACTTAGCTAATGTTAGTAATATTCTAAATGTTGATTTACTGCACTTTTGGGTATACAAAAGCACAAATATATGGACATTTGATGTCGTTTGTGACATATTTATGCACCTGGATCCCTTCGAAGGTGTCTCTACGTGTAAAATGTTGGATGTCCTCTAACAAGATACCTATTTGTTTAATTAAATAAAAAAACCTAAACATTGCACAAAATATACAAATCATCAATATATTATATTTATAATAGGAATTATGAATAAACAATATATAAATCCATCACGCAGAACATACTAAAGAACCATTTAAATGTTATACATATCATATACCTATTTTATTTTTGTATATGTTTTGTCAAATCCCTGTAAGTACGTCACATATATTTTATACTAAAATATGACGTAACAAGCTGTCAATTTATGCCTATCAAAATAGATGACTATTAACTTGATAGACTAAAATACGTGTCTAATATTTATTTTATCATCTATGTAATGGACTATATATAAGTTAGTTTATTCATCATGCCTATTATAAAAATATATTAACTAAATCAGTTATAAACGTAGTGTAGTCAAAATATAAAAAATTGGTAGTATGTGTCTTTGTATAATATATATCAGCGATATATTGTAATTACGAGTTCTCTACTTTCAGACAATCGCTCAAATAAATTAATATTATGGTTGATGACTGGATAAAATGAAGTTCATGACAAAATTTAATTGTATAAAAAAGTATTGTAATATGATAAAAACCAATATATAGAGTTTTGTCATTTGATTTTGACTCGTATTGCACTATCATAAGGTATATTATAATTTGCAGTTACACCAAACAGATACAATTTTGCAAAACATAATGCATTTTTAATATCAACCTTACTTTATAGACATAGGATAGAAAATCATTTGAAGAAGTTTAAATCCCCGGTCATCAACCAAAATATTTATGTATAAAAGGGATAAAACACAACAGATCATAATAACAAGAGACAACACAACATTAAAATATAATGAAAATTACAAAACAAATGTCTTTTATACATGGAATATAACTGTCAAAGAGTCGTCCGCCATATTGCTAACATGTCAATGTCAAATCGGATACAGCTTTATTTTAATACCGTAAAATGTGATGAATAGGGATAGAAGAGGGGTGAATCGATACTATGAAGAATTTCCTTACATATATTCAACCCTTTTTATTACCATTATTGGATTTAAGTATTTAAAAGTTTTGTCTTTTGCCACATATTGTGCTGATTAAAAAAATGTGGGTTTCTGTACTATAAGACAGTATACGTTATATAAATTCATATCGGGTATATTTATAACTTGAAAACATGTGTCAATTTATTAAAATAAAACTGTATTTTTGCTATGCAAGTTCTGTATCGATTCTACAATATTGTTTTTATATTTATAGGTGCATGTAAATTGCCCTTAATTTTGCAATGGCTGACATTTGATTAATAATCAAGTGTAACTGCGATAATTCAATCAAAATTTTCTAAAATGATATTTAATAAATATAACAATAAAGTTGAAATTATACAAATATTCAATTATGACGGCATAGCATTGTTGTATGAATTTAAATATCGCTTTGAGAAGACGTCTCGCAGAGTAAAACACATCGGTAAAGATCTGTAACTTGAAATTACAAAGAAAGAAGTATTGTCGCTATAGACAATCACTTTTGACGCTAATAATTATATTTTAATGAAAGCAATGGACAGCAAAATCTACCGCAGTTTAACAAGTTAAAATTTGGCATTTATCTTTACTAAATACTCTTTTCACATGAAAATTACAAATGTATCGAAATACCGAAGCTAAAATATTGTCAAAGAACCACTAGGCCGTTATACGTATAGGACTTGAAAATATTAGGCCTTTGTCAATGAACACAAGTGGTCGTATCAAATTACTTTCTTGGAAGACGTTTTTGCACTCCATAGATGGCGCTAGTGTAACTTTGAAGTCTTATTGGCTCAATTTGGTTTGATATCAAGACTTTTATGTATAAGACTTGTTTTTATAGGACAGAAAGCAAATGGTGGTGAGGATAATTTAGTAAAGGGAACCGATCAGCAGCGCAATTGATTAAAATATGAACTTTAAGTTTGATATTGCAATGTCTTTTTTTTTTTTTTTTTAATAATTGATGGAGCGACGTTTGACCACTATCTCACCTGATGGTAAGCGATGATGCGGTCTACGTCTGCTAGTTGGTCAGTTTTTCTGTCTCTGCTGGTCAATATAGTTTATGTTACACTAGCGTCCCTAATAGTAAAGTCAGACATGATAACCCTAATCATATTATGTATTTGTATCAACACGAATCGTTAAGGATAGTGAACACAATTATTTAGAGCTCATTTTTCAATCAACAGCTAATTGTTTCTGTTATCTGTAAAATAAAATTTTTATTTGTCAGTTTTAGTATGGAAGAATTATCAAATATGTATTGTCAAATAGTATTCCTCCGATACAATATATGCCATGGTTGAAAAAAATCAGCCCTTAGTAAATTTTATTTAACATCATCTAAACTTTCAGTGATCTAACTATGATCCCCAATTCTGCGAAGCTTGGGGATTACAGTTCTAAAGAAATATAATTTTCTTCGGATTTGAGATAAAACGTTAACCAAATTTTAAATTACATTTACTACAATGCGTTTTTTTACTTTAAATTAATAAGTTTAGTGTGCGAGACGTCTTCAGTTAAGCAGTAACACTCGATAAAGGACACCCTTGGGTTAGTAGTTCATTGACGGGCACGCGAACTGGACACCGCGACGCTTTAAACCACCTTGCTTTATTAAATTTTACATTGGACACTAAAACCACCTTATGTGTATTGAAGATAATTTAGTCACTGCGGATTATATAGTCTGTTATATATTCTGACGTTAATAGGAGACTTTTTGGTCTGATTTTTATAACAAAATTTGCTTTTTCTTATAACTTTTACGTACCTACAAGATTGAATTTGTAATGACAATTTCATAGTTAACAGATGTGTGTTGTTCTAAGACAAAACAAATTGTTAATTCATGTTACCTATGAAATTAGCATTCTTTTAGTAATTTCATAGTTACGTAATATGAAGATAGTGGTTCCTGCTTCATGTTACCTACGGAATTACCATTGTTAGTACAGATACTTTTATAGTTGCTAAAAGACAGTGATTACTGATGGTTGACTGGTTTTATCTTCATGTTACCTGTAAAATTGCCGCTTTGGCTGGTCAATTAGAAAGTTACGTAATTTGAAAATGGTGGTGGCTCACTGGTTCCGCGGTGGTCTGAGCGCCCTGTAGAGCAGGATGGCGGCCAGCGCGAGCGCGGCGAGGGCGAGCGCGGCGGCGGCGGCCAGCGCGTGCAGCAGCGCGCGCAGCGTGCCGCCCAGCGCGCGCCACGAGCACGGGGCGAGCTCGGCCCGACATCATCCTGTACCACACTTACCGCTCTCGAACACGCCCTGGGTAGTGTACAATTATGTTCGTGAAACTCACACATTTCTAATATTATTAACTATCTGAATAAAGTTGTTTGTTAACAATTTTATAGGTTAACTAAGTTATTAAAAGCACAATGAAGGGCAGAAGCCACACAGAGCTACAAGCTTGTCGGGACCTAACGTGATGCTTTAAGGGCTTAGTATACGTTTATTTTACGTTTGACGAGACCGAAAACAAACCGCGTTCGACGCTCTATTTTTTTTTTATACTTTATAGGTCGACGTTTGTCCACCATCTCGCCTGATGGTAAGCGATGATGTGGCCGACGATGGAGCACGCCTACTTATGAGCAACCTGTTCACTCGGGATTTGAAGACACCCAAGTCATATTTGACGGGAAACGCCTCTGGTAAGGAATTCCATTCCTTAGCGGTTCGCATGAGGAAGCTTGACGCGAAACGCTTCGTGCGAATGGGTGGCATGTCCACCATATAAGGGTGGCGCCCCGCCGTTCGCCTGGTGGTACGGTGGTGAAATGGACTAGGGGGAATAAGTTTGTGCAATTCCCACGCACACTCACCGAAGTGTATCCGATAGAAGACCGAAAGGCTTGCGACTTTTCGCCTGTGTTCGAGGCTTTGTAGCCGAGCCTCCACAAGCGAATCGTCATTGATGAGCCTCTTGGCACGCCTCTCGATGGATTCGAGGGCTTCTAACTGATATTTCGCCGAGCCATCCCAAAGATGGGAGCAGTATTCCATACACGACCGAACTTGTGTTTCCGAAAGAGTGAGCAACTGTTCCGGCGCGAAGTACCGTCTCACCCTCGACAGGACACCCAACTTTCTACCAGCCAGAGCCAAAATTGAGAGTGGGCGTCAGGGTTACGCCGAGAAGCTCGAGACGGTCACCCATCGGGAGGGACACACCTCGGAAAGTAGGAGTCAGTGGGAACCGACTGCGTTTAGCGGAAAATAGACACGCCTGGGTTTTGCTGGCATTAAACCTGACCAAATTGACGTCACCCCAATGGGAGACCGCCTGCAAGGACAGGTTCAGACGACTTACCATAGATTCTCTCAGAGACTGGATTTGAGTTGCACTGGTTCGCGCATCGGACACATACCTCTTAACAACGGTGCTGCCATCTGCGTACCCAAAGATACCGGGCTGGAGCAGGTCATTAATGTGCAACGAAAAAAGTGGTGCTTGAGAGTACTGACCCCTGAGGAACCCCGGCATTAATACCAAGTTGATTGGATGAGCAGCCATCAATGACCACTCGGATCGATCGATCCCTCAGGAAGTCTGTTATCCATCTGCACAAACCAGTGGGGAATCCATATGCGGGAAGCTTGCCAACAAGACTATCGTGCCAGACCCTGTCGAAGGCCTTCGAGACATCGAGCGATACGGCTAACGCTTCCGCGTGTTTCTCGATGGCCTCGCTCCAGATGTGGGTGGCATATGCAAGAAGGTCCCCAGTAGATCGGTTTCGGCGAAATCCGTATTGCTGATCACTAAGGAGATCGTTACGTTCAAGGTATGCCAGGAGCCTGATATTTAGTATACGTTCCATACTCTTACAGAGTATGGACGTGACCGAGATAGGTCTGTGTTATTAGGGTCGGCACGGCTACCTTTTTTAGGCACAGGTTGCACGTTGGCCAGCTTCCATGCTTTCGGCACTTGACCAGTCTCCAACGATAGGCGAAATAGACGTGTCAAGATTGGAGCTAACTCAGGTGCACAAGTTTTTAGTACTACGGCCGGGATTCCATCGGGACCACTGGCTTTGTTCACGTCCAGGTTGCGCAACGTTCTGCAGACCTCCTTCTGTCGAATGCGAATGCCCGACATGTTAGTCTCGCATACTCAGTGTAGAGAAGGTGGTGAAGCGCCACCAGCATCAAGACGCGAAGACTCCGCAAAAAGAGAGGCGAATAAGTTCGCTTTCTCTATTGCGCTGTGAGCTAGTGTCCCATCAGACCGCAGTAGCGGTGGGAGTGAGGGGCGACAGAAGTTTGATTCCACCGACTTGGCCAGAGACCAAAAAGCCTTACTACCCGTTAGGTACGAAGCAAGTTTGGCCCCTATTCGGCCGATGTGTTTGAACCGAGCTTCGCGCAGTGCCTTTTTGTATGACTTGGAGGCCCGGTTAAAAGCTCTCTTCCTTTGAAGTATATCATCAGCCCTATGGGACTTGGCGTCCGCCCATATATGCCATATATGCAGCATACTTTAGTGCCTCCGTGTGTTTGCAGTTGGCATCAAACCATGGACGAAAGCTACCAACGGATGTCGCGTCCGAGAACGGAACGTAATATTCCATACCTTGACGCAACACCCCCGTTACGGCATCTGCACAAGCTGACGGATCATCGGAAGAGAAGCAAATAGGCCAACATGAATAGGATGCAAAAAAAAATCGCATTCCATCCCAATCTGCTGACTTGTATCGCCACATCTGTCGTGGTTCCCCAGGGCTAGAATCAGGTGGAGAGTGTGTAGACACAGATTTCACCAGTATAGTTTGTAAATGTTTTATAACATCAATGATATCTATTGCACGAGTACCTATGACAATACAATAAAACAACCTTGAGAGACAGGAGGGTACCTGATAAAAACATACTGTACGCAATATCAAACTTTTTATGAATTACCCGCACAGAATGAATTCAGTTAAGTATAGTTAAACCAGTAGTTTAGTTGGATAGTTTTAACCAATAAGAGCCACACCATATTAATTAACTTATTCACAAGCTTAAACGTGAAGACTTGTAATTGGCTCATTGATACCTACAACTATTGTTATTTTTATCCATTTTTATAAGCTGCAGGTTCTCGAAGAATTATAAATAAATAAAGAGTAAGACAGAACCCCCCACGTCGTCCCCATAGCGAGAGAAACAACCCATGCAGATTTCCATAGCAGTAAAGAAAGATAAAAAGATACATTTAAGTATGACGTACCTTCCGGAAGAAAGGCGAGAAGCTGACGAGCGCGTCCCTGGTGAGCGGGCGGTCGGGGTCCCGGAAGGGGCAGCGCGCGTCGGCCGCCGCCGCCGCCAGCAGGCGCCGCAGGAACTGCTCCAGCTGGCCGCGCCGCGCGCGCGCCACCGCCTCGCCCGCCCACAGCGAGCGCGCCGGGAACGGGATCGACCCCACCTGCGCCGGGAACATGCCACTACCGTGAGCGGCCTGATCGTACAAGACCCATCTTACACTATACCCTATCATCATAGTAGCAACCTATACCAGCCACCAGACGTCCACTGCTGAATATAGAAACGACTTTCAGGTAGGCTGTTTGGAATACCACCTGTATCCAGAAGCATCTTGCGACCTTCATTAAGTACGTACCATACTTACTCAAGTACAAAAAAAATATGGAGTCTTCCTTTGAACCACCACTAATTTCATTATTGCTAACTCTTCAAAGAAACAAAAGTGCACCACTCGACACTCTAAACACAAGTGGTCAGGCGGATAAGTCCGTGACTATACAAATCTATTTTTTTAAATGTTTTAGATCATTGGCTATAAACTTATATCAAACTTCGACAGCCGAAACTGAATTTGAGAATGACTGCAAAGCACTGAAAAGTTAACTAAAAATTACTCACATGAAGTACTGAGAAAAGCTCTACTAGTTTCGCGGTCGCGGCGATGTCGAGCAGTCAACTCATAGTCATGTTACTCATGAGGAAGAACCTCTCTGTGGTTCGAAACTAGTACAGCTTTTGTCAGTACTGTCACGTGAGTAGCCCGCGATTTTTAGTTAATTTAGTATGTCTCACGATAGTTATTATGAAAGCACTGAAAAGTCAAATTCGCCTGTATTTACAGGCCTACAAGAACCTATAAATTCGCACCTTAGGTCCGTAAACCCGCCGCATGGTGAGGTACAGGTCCCGGAAGCGCCTGTACCGCCTCAGTAGCAGCCAGCGACACGACGCGCCCAGCTGGATGCGGACCTCGTACTCGTGGTGCGTGGACGCGCCCGCGCCTCGGGTCACCCAGCCTGGGATACTTACTACTTCACCTGGAAATGAAATCTGCTGTTAATATTTAAGGCTTTGAGTTTGAAATTGCTGACTTTCAAAGGTATAGGCCATACAACAACATATAACATAATATCACGCCTTTCTTCCCCAAAGGGGTGGCAAAGGTGCACATTATGGCACTTAATGCCACTGTACCATGTAACACCCACTTTTCATTATTTTATGTTATGTGAGTCCCATGTACTGGACACAATAGGCGTGTCGACAGGGTAAAAAAATTAAAAAAGTAATTAGTCCGTCATTAAGATCGCACGAAAATATCAGACACGTATTTTTTGTTTTATCAAATTAACAGAAGAATACGTAGTTATTCCGCATTAAAGTTAGGGAGTGGGGGGTGTTGACGTCACACTTACGGAGAAATCGTACCTAAGTGTGACGTCACGCGTCATTTTAACTCAAAATATCTACATGTTTTTTTGGATACGAGAAAAAAAGAAAAAATACGTATCGAAGATTTTTAAAATATCTAAAAGACGGACAAAAAATTAAAAAATTGTCGCCATGCCTATTCCAGACTTCGTGCTACCACTGAGAATTTTTAAAAACCCAGTAATACTTTGCCCGACCCGAGAATCGAACGCACTTGCGACCACTCGGCTAACGAGGCAATATAAGACATAATTATGTGTATTAATATTCTGAAAAGGTTATTTTTATGTTTGAAAATACTAATCTCCGAAACCTCTAGCTTAATAATTATGTTGTGATATGTTGGATAGTCATTAAGTATTAAGAAAAAGGGTAAAAAATCATGGTACTTGACGGTACTACCAATTGGAGCCAAGCAAGATGAAACAGTGAGTTGCTTAATAACTATCGTTAAAGATATCTAAGGGAGACGAGAAAAGTTGTACTGGTTACAAGACACACCGGGACCCTTATTCATGAAGTCGTTGGCGGCTTGTATCGAGGTAAATACTGTTTTAATCGAAGGTAGACTTTAGTTAGATAAGTTAAATAGAAAAAAAAACTTACTGAAATCTATTGGATGTGATAAACCGGGACATATCGTGGGATCCTAGAACAAAAAATAAAAGAAAACAATTACAAAAACTCAATCAGTCTTAATTAGAAATCAGATCTTGCGCTACTATTCAAGATTTTTTAAACTCATACATACAGCGGCATGTTAAATTATCCCATTGTTGCTATTTAATTTCCTAAGTATATTTTCAATCGTACCACTTAGCAACAAAGTTAAAAATCCATTAAAATGACATATTAAGGCAGCTTCATTTACAATTGTTAACCCGTTGAAAATTGTTGAAAATCATCCCCTAAATTTGTCCGTACAAAAGTAGTCTCTAAACATTGGAAATAAGATCTATAATGTAGTTAGTGGAGAGCAGTCACCGGTGACCGCTTGGAGATGACAAATATACATACAGGTAACGATATGTCCCGGGCCGGCGGGTCTCGGTCACAGTGTTCGATTCTATCGAGTCGCCGATCGAGTCGGTCGAGTCGGTCGGTGGACTCGGTATAATCGGACCGGACGCGACACCGTAACGGGTCCTCCCACGGCGGCTCGTGTGTTTCTCCCGGTAACTCGTCGTTGGACGTCGACACGTTATCCGACCCTTCTAGCTCTTGTTCTTTTAACCTGGGTTTAGGAAAATAATAATAATAATATTATAGTATCTAATACAAAGATAAAATGTTTGTTTGAAAGCTCCAATCGCCGGACCGACTAGTCCGATTTAAATAATTCTTTTTGTGTTGTGATAGTGTTTTTATCGAGGAATGCTATAGACTAAAAAATCACGCTACGGCCAATAGGAGTCGAGTAGAACTTGTGAAGTCGCGTGGAATTAGCTAATTATTAACAATATAGATAAGCAAGACACCTGACTATACACTACTGAACTATGCGCTTCGTTTCAGTAAGAGGATTTGACATAATTGGCACTTTTAGCAAGTGATTTGAGACTGCATTTTTTTATGAAATCTATTGCAAGAGCCGACTAAGAGACTCCACATTTGATAAAGCCCAGGCCAACGCTCTCTCTGATAAAATTCCTCAGGGTCATATTTCACCGGGACATCATAACAGCGCAACCAGTCGCCGCAACCATCAAAATGTATACAGCTCTGTAGAGTATCTACACTCCCTTAGTGGGCGATTGGTGGCGCCACCAACTCGGACGGAGTATTAAGTGTATTTTGATAAAGTCGCTGTGTAGTGTGGCGACTCTGGTGTCTTTCTGGTGGCGACTGACGTGACACGTGGTGTGATTGGTTGCGTTGCCACAGTGTATCGATGAAATATAGCACTTAAACTGGTATCTTAATTCGACTACCAATGAAATGAAATGATATATTATTTCTGCAAATAAGTTACAAAGTAACTTTTACACGTCAATCTTTAGATTACTAGATGAGGGCCAATGAAAAATTAAGCGGAGACAATGGAAAATCTTATGTAAAGGCCCACAGAGGACTAGTGTTGCTGTGACAATGTTGATAAGTAACATGTATCCAAACCTGTGCAACAATGGGTCTTCAACATGTCCGTTCTCAGTGGGCGGCTCCTCAGTAGCGACCTGCATGTCACTCTCGGAGAGTGTGAGGGAGGGAGTCTCCTGTATGGGAGTGACCATCATGGGCCGCCGCGACTGGTTGTCGAAGAACGAGTACTGGAGTGCCATCTCCAAACGTACGTATTTCTTCTGGAGTTCTTGTAGGACCTGGGGATTGGAGATTAGTTGAGATAATGGTCACATACTATGCCAAAGACCTTAGAGCAATAATCGTGGATACGAGCTTAAGTGGTGAAGAAATAAAGTAGATTTTTGATAAGAGCAAATTAAAACTACCATTTCTTAAAAATATTTGGAAAACCCTTATTCTGATTTGTTATGGATCTTATTAATGGGCCGTAGTTTAAACTATAATATTGGTGTTGGTTGGGTATCTGTGTGATCCACAAATGAATGTCCCGGTTTTCTGTGACATCCACTTACTTTTTGAGTAATTCACAAATTGTGATTCATCAGATAGATACATGGAGGGAAGGACCAAGTCAAAGTCAAAGCATTTATTTCAATTAAACCATATTTTGGTACTTTTGAAACATCAACATACACAAAATAAATAAGTCTGTCAGTGAAGCTAGGTGAAGCTAGGTGGTCATTCCAAAATGTAGATTCGAATGGAGAAGAACGAGCAAGAAACTCCATTCGTTACTCTTTAAAAAAACCTAAAATCAAGCTATAGTTTGTACTTATAAGTAGTAATAACAATAAGTTACCGCGATCTGCCGATTAAGTTCCTCCTTGGAGCAGTCGTTCTCCAGCGACGATATGACGAGCATCTTCTGCGAGGCGATGCGGGAACACAACCGCTGCATGGCGCGTAACGCTTCTACTTCCGTCACCTGACGACGACCTGGTTTACCCTCTCCTATTAAAATAAATAACAATTTAAGACTAGCAAAACAGCAGCTCTTCTACTGTTACAAGTGCGTCGCCGATATTTTAGGAGTTAGGTATTTGATGATATGGGATTTTGGTGATTGGGGAGGGATAAGGGGTCAAGTAACCTCACTCACACAACGCTAAAGTTGTTTCATGCTGGTTTTCCGTGAGGCGGAAATTCGACCCAAAGCATGGCTCTTCCACACTTAGCGTAGCGTAGATATGTAATAGGTATAATAATAAATGGGGTTTCATATTCACCTGGTACCCTTCTTTTGTACTTGGCTCTCTGATGTCGCTCCTCAGGCGACCGCTCCACGGAGCTAGACGATTGGCCCTCCACTATTCTAGGCTGCAAACAATGATAATAAACATTTTATTTTCGTAGCGTCGTTAATCGTTTTAAGGAAGGGGAGATGGTTATAATTTAGTGTTCAAGTTCAACAACAGCCCAATAGTTGCACTATGGGCCTTCTGTAAATAAGAGCGGTTTGTTATAATACATATATTCACTGTTGGTTCGCAGGTTGGAGATAATTCATCAGAGAGCGCTACTGCCAGACCTTGGTTAAGTATCCCTTAGTGACGACTAACGACACCCGTGGGAAGAAAGAAAGAAAAAAGATTTTTCACGCTAAAAAAAAAATGACATGTACAGATGTTATTCTATCAGTACTGATGGATACATGTTCATGTCCGAAGTCTGCGGTGAAATGGGACCAGTTCAGATTGTGGAAGACAGGGTCTTGCGCTGGTATCAAGAAGAAGTATGCGCTGAAGGGTAAGGATGGTGACATCGACTTACCACCGCCATCACCAGACGGCTGATGATAACATGGATTTTTTTACAACCATGTGCTTAAAAAATAGTAACATGTCACATGACCTACCTTATGATAATCCTCAGTGCTGGACATGTCATCACTATCATCAGCCGTAGGCACGGGCCCCAACCGGAACTGTGGCTGCGGGGGCCCGGCGGGGCCCGTCGTGTCGGGTGACGTGGGTGTCGTATCCTCTGCCGGGGCCCATTCTGGGAACTTTTTGGGAGATGATGTAGCTGTGTGGAACGTTTCTTCCGTGTTCAGGGTTGAGTTCGGAGACGCTAGAGGATCTAAGCTGAGGCTAAGGCTGAAAGAAATAGATTGTGATGTTAAGGTAGATATATACTTCGGTAGCAATGGGCCGACTCGAACGAAGTGATACCACAACCTCTACATTAAATCGAAACGATTGCAAAAGAAATTTTTTTAAACGGAGCTTTAGAATAAAATCAATTCTACAACTAAAGAAAATCTCCCTGAATGCACTGCAGTGCAAAAATAAAGCGGTATATCCTCACTTTATCCTCCGATGTCTGTAGTGTTCCCTCTCGTCAGCAGAGAGGGGGTCAAGTACCTCCTCCCTCGGAGTGCGGCGGAGGACCAGCTCAGACTTGCTGCGCTTCACCCCCTCCAGGGGGGATGGGGAGCCAGAACCCTCTGTGAGAAATATAGTTACGTTAATTTTAACACATTAGGTCTGTTAGGAAAAAGTTATATGATATCGAATTTTTGAGACAATATTGAATTTGTGATACCGAAATTTTATAGAATAACTCAAATTCATTTGTGTTCGGTCTATCAACTAGCCGCGTCGATCGTTTTATTATTAGAAAATAATTATGTAATTTGATTCAGTTATGTCATCGAATTCTTTATTTTAATAATTTATAGTAGAATTTTGTGATTCATACCATTACAAGATCTCGCCAGTATAGAGAATCATGGTAAAACCCACAAATTTATATCAAAGGAAAGCTTCTTTCTTTAGCAGCTGTCATCATCTACCTGGTGATGACGATGCAAGATCCTGTTTCCAAGTTATACATACCGAGTCCATTAGTATCGGCTGCGGCAGGCAGGTCGGAGGCGAGCGCATGTTGCAGGCCGAGCTCCTGCGTGCTCAGTAACGCCAGCTCGGCCTGGAGACGCTCTATCTTCACGCGGTGAGACGCTACTGAAGCTACGCGACTCTGCAGCTCTTCTTCTAACTCTAATAACTCCTTTTTCTAAAAAGAATCAAGATAATAATAACTGCTTAGTTCACGAATATGCTGCAAACCGTTCACTAGATGTGGACACACCATTATAATAGAGTAGGCTCTATTATAATACGGTAGGCCGTATGTTTGGTCACCAGAAGGCGCCAGTGTGAACCTGTCGTCCTTCTTCCAATAGAGAGTTAGCCAATGCCACGCCATAGGACGTTTATATTAGACAGCTGTTGCTATTGGTCAAAAAGGTTCTTCCTATATTTGCGCCATAAATTGACCAAAAATACCGTAGACCCCTATTGATGCAACTGGCGGATTAAATCCTATCAGATAAGACAGCAAAAATTGATAGTAACTCTAGAATATCCAGCATTCTAAACATCTCATAATAGACTAGACTAGAGACTACGGGAAATAAAAAGGTGGTCTCTCACATGTCTGTCGACCGTGTCCTTAATGCTGGAGGCGACCTTGGGCTCGCACTGCTGCAGTAGATGCATCAGGCTCTCCGTGCTCGTCTCTGATGCTGGACTGTCCGGACTGGGAGTCGAACTCTGGGGAAAGATAATAAAGTCTAGATTACTTTAAAATAATTTATTTAGTTTACACTATCTTCTGTCCAGGGCGTTGCCCGCGTTCCCGTGAGATAGAAAGTACCCCATGTATTATTATAGACCATAATCTATCGCTGTTCGAAATTTAATTCCGATCCCTTCAGCCGTCATGACGTAACAAATATATACACAAACTTTTGCATTTATACATGTAATATTAGTATACAAACAGTTGAATTGATTACTTAGTTTGGTTCGAAAAAGTTTTAATTAGTTAATTAACTTCGTAAGCAGTTTACAACCCATTTTAAAATCTTTCCAAATTAATTCAAAATCGCGGGTTACTCACGTGAATATACTGAGAAAAGCTCTACTAGTTTTGAACCACAGAGGGGTTCTTCCTCATGAGCAACATGCGCGGTCGCAGCGATGTGGCACAGCCTACTCACGTGAGTAACGAGCACGATAGTTATTATAGAATACTTTTTTAAATCCAAGAAAGTTAGCTCATTAGTGTATCAAAACAAACCACATTTTAAGTTAACGTCTTAAACTTACGAAACAAAAGACAATTAGTTTGTTTTTCTTTAGGTATAGAATTACTATCAAAATATGTATATTTTATACAATCTATGTGCATATCACAATACATAGACACAGTACACACAGTATATTTAACCTTTAATAAAAAGTTAATATTTTTGCAGTCGCATCTTACATTAAACACTGCAATCCAATTTGAATCTTAACGCCATTAACATACAGTACAAAAATGCAATAACTACAATTCAACATGCAATTTATTTAATTAAAAATGCAAGCCATGCATAGCTAGTGTATAAATAAGGAATAAAATGTTATATTTTTATTTTGTTTTTCTACCATTTTATTGTTTTGCAGTGTCGAGTGGTCATGAAGGTTTTATTTGAAACAAAGTATTAAAAGTTAAAGGACTTTTTTGTCTGGATTACAGATTGAATATTGTAGTATCTACACCGTGAAATCTATTTCGTTTTCTTGCCAAACAACTTGCCATAAGTACTTTCGACGTATAAAGTAAAAACAAAAAAAAAACACTAGACGTAAATTTGTAGGCACTAATCACATCGCATCTGGTACCCGAGGAGAAATACCTCGTCGAGAATGACATGCAGTGATGTTTTGATTTAACTCGTCGAGTACCGGTTTTGTAGACACAATTATAGAACAATAGGTTGCGGTCACCGGTGACCGCTTGGTGTTTGACAGTTTAATAATGTATTACGAGTTCGTATGCGCTTTCGAAGATTGCTTTTTATAATGGTTCACCAGTTAATTTTTGTTTTAAACATTTTATTTGTTCGTAAAACTTTTGTATTACCGAGACAGAACCATTTACTTCAGGACGAAAACGAAATAGATTTCACGATGTAACTGAGTTTTGAGTTTTTTCAGTGTTTCTTGTCTGATCCAAATTACAGTACTACGATTAGTACGATCGTACTCATTTACTGGTACTCATTTCGTTTTCATTTATATTTTTCTGATATTACACCATTAAAAGAAGTCCTACAATATTTTCAACCTTATTACGTAATAACAAAGTCTGTATTAAGTATGCCTCTGTTTAGTATCTAGTTATGAAAAACCAGTATAATTTTCTTTTAATATTACTTCAACCGTGACGTGCGAGGTAATTTATAATAATACATAAATATTTATATTATTATTGTTCAAGTACTATGAAATTAAAAGTTATTATTACTAGCATATTTAACCTTCAGTGTTACTGTTTAGGTAACAAGGTTCATTTTTGCATTCCAATATGACGTAGTTTTTATGTGTTGAATAAATCTTTATTTTGTGTTTTTTCCCACTTTGTGCTATTAAATACTGACCTATATTGTATAAAATATATTCGTTATTTTAGAATATTTTAAAACTTATGTGCCTTCTCTCTTTGTACTTAAGGATACGTGATAAAACCATTATTACTTTTAATCTTCATATCGTGACTACATGAAACACAAATTATGTATGTAGAACGGAGTAGAACCAATATTACGTTTAATTATTATCTGATCACTCTTGACATCCTGAGGCCTTAGTACCAGTTTTATTTTATTTAGAGTTAAAGTAACCGAAACGTGACCGCGTCAGACGCTCTTTTTGGGTGGTTCATTGAAGCCGGCCAATCAGAGCGCCGAACGCGGTCTCATACAGGCCTCTGGGACTTCGTAGTTACACATTCACATTTTTTTTTAACCCTAAAATTGTTTTTGCATTAACACGTTAAAATTGAAGTAAGTTACCGATAACTTACATGGGAAATTGGTGTCAACAATTCACCATTTACAATCGGAAGGCTTATAATTAGACATATTGAAGAAATCTGAAGTAGAAAGACAAGCAGGTCATTTTAATGAAATCTGTAATTATTTTCATTGGATTCTTCGGGTCCTTTCTGTTAATAGGTTGTAAACTTTATTGCTTTAGTATAAAGTCTTAAATTTAATGAAAAATAAGACAAATTTGATAAAATTGTTCTTTATGTCACTGTAGTTATAGAAGACTTACCTCATCTAAAGTGCATCCATTAGCGAGTAGTTCCTGGACACTGGTGTTGATGTAGTCGTCGAGTGCTGCCCTCTTGCCGTCCACTCGGGAGCGCAGCGCGGCCACGCGACCCTCCTCACTCTCAGCCTACACGCAAGCGCAACCAAAAATAAAAACTGAAGCTCTGGATTTTTTGAACTAATTTTTATTTAGACATTTGTCAAAAAAAATAGTGACGCAAAGCTTTTAGTGTATAAGAATTCAAAGTTATAAGTGAAATAATAACTTTGTGCTGTAAACTTGATAGTTACGAAAATGTATGGTAAATACACCCCTTTTTTTTAAGGGGGGAAAATCATCAAATGACTACTCCCGCCTGGGTGAGGCGGGAGGGAGTGTCAGACTCTTACTGACTAAAAACCACCCCGTTCCTTCTCCTGCACGTCGAGCCGGAGCCCCGGTTACCCGTTAGGTTCTCCGCGACATGGTAAATACATCCCTAATACCATACACCGTACAATTATTTTTCTTATTTTTACAATACTTTGCCCCATACTAGGATCTTCTCCTGTGTTATGGGTGCGTTTACAAACATACAAGTTCACATATACATTACACCCACCACCACCACAATCTGTGGATCACACAAAGAGTTGTTCCGTGCGGGAATCGAAACTGCGACACGTTGCATGGCTGCCAGTATCCCAGTTGCCCAGCCACTGCGCCAATCGTGCAGTCAATTAACATGATATTAATAAAAATGCGAAAATTATTTCATACCTACCTACCCTGTCAGAGAACAAAAGGTATAACGCCATATAACATTTACACAACAATGTTAATTCATTGACGCACTATCTCGTACGGTGTATAAATGGCGAGTACGACGTTATTGCCAAAGATCGGTCGATATGACAATGACTGGTAATTGGTTTCCAATGAAACAAGTGTCAATACACAGGATAGCATACACACATGTTCTAGTTTGACAAAACTTGGCAACATTTATTTGGAATAAATACTTAGGTACACCAGCTTTAATTTCTTTTCAGGAAAATTTAGAATTTAATAGTTATGTATCTTGAGATTTTTGTCAACTAAAGAGAATTTTGTGAAACAATTCATTATGATTTTCTTTTGTTTTATAGAACAAAAGTTAATCATTCAAATTATGTATAACAATAACAATATGACGTTATAACTTTGTATCCCTTACTGAAAAATATGAATTAATGAACTCGTTATGTTTGAAAAGCATTAATAAAATTAAAGCATTTAATCAGATTGTGTCAAAAAAGATACCTGACCAACCTTAACATACAAGAAATCGGTCTACTTTCAGAGGTACCTAATTATCCTGCTAACAAGGTAAATAATTTTTAAATCCGCTAAACCTTTATCTTATAATTAAAGCCTTAACTATTATCACTCTTATTAACCACGGCTAAAACACACAAAATCTCGAAATCAATTAAAACACTTGGAACACAAAACATAGACATAGGCTCAAAAAATCCAGAACTTCATAAAACAAAAAAATTAACAGCACTGCCTACCCACATGAACGTTGCAGGTGAACACACAGGCACACAGACGCGTACAAACTACTGCAAGCTTCGATATAAAGTGTAAGATAGTGGGAATTATAAAAACAATAAATTCATTGTTGGCACTAAACTGAAAGCACTACTTGTTGTTCTCGATTGTGGCAACGAGAGAGAATTCTGTGAGATTAACACACTGTTTACGTTATGTATTTTTTAAATCGTTCACACTTTTTGATAATTTAATATTTGGATCGAAAATGTAGACAATGGTAATGGCACAAATTGGTTACTAAGCCGTTACTGTTTTCTGTTTTCGATTTTCCACCGTATGGTTTTATAATAAAATTGAAAATCGTTCAATACTATCAGGATGGTTGGTGCTGGACGTTTAAAATGGAACTGAACGGTATGGGAAATGTAACTGAATTTGTTAAACACGATAGGTAATAACCAAAGTACAAAAATAAATACTATATATGTATAAGCTATTACAATCATTTTCCCTTTAGCGGTAGTACGAAGTGAGCGTTTACACGCATAACAGCCCACCCAACGGCATAATTCGAAATCCAATATTATTGCTTAGAAATATTCGCACTATCGATTTGGGACAATAGAAACAAGACCCCACCCTCAGCAGTCACACTTGAAAACCATTAAACCAACGAGGTAGTGAAACTACTAGACAATACTAAGAAATAAAAAAATTAATCAATATTTTGAAACCAAACAACTGAAAACAATACAATAAAAACACTTGAAATCGTAAATTTCCGGTAATCGATAAACAAATCGATTGTTTTCATTCGAGTATCGAGTCGAGTCAATAGTTGCACGGTACATAATCAGTAAACTGTATAGGACAATGACACGTTGACGTAATCTTGTTATAACACGCACTTACATTAGTGTATCGATTTTATTACTTTCACAATGTTTGTAATACTTTTTTATCAGTTTTGTTGGTCGAATGGTTACAATAAGTAGTTGATAATTTTTTGGCCAAGAGATCGCAAGTGCGACTGTTCAGCAAGAGGTCTCGGGTTCGATTCCCAGGTCGGGCAATGTACTATTGGGATTTTCAAAAAAATTTCAGTATTAGCATGGAGTCTGAACATGTGCCTGCTCTGGCACTCGACTAGTTTTCTCTCGAGTACTCGTGACAGTAGCAGCGCGACAGTCGCCGCGTCGCGGGTCGCGAAATGCTGCTCATGAATATGAGCCTCTAGCATGGCTTGAAACTAATCGAGTTCCTCGTCAGATTATTACGTGAGTAAGCCGAAAACATAGTAATTTATTTAGTATGTCTCACAAAAGTTACAATACAAGTATTTACAACTTTTTTATTAATACATGTCATCTCAAATTCTCTCTCACCACCGCTATCTGTCTACCTCTTAAATAGGCATAATTTAGCAGCTACAACAATAATTCGTAAACATTACATAATCATTCATTTTCTCACAGTGTCAACACAATAGCGCATTATCACATGTCTACTGAAATAAAGAACAAAAACCGTTGCAATGTTCACACTTCTCGTCACATTTTCACAACAATGCATTTAAACTTTTTCGCCTATATTACCTTTATAGACGTTACGGGAAATTAGACTTTATGTGTACTGAGTAAGAGTATAAAATCTGTCTATATTTAATAATTTTACAGATGTTACGGGAAATTAGACTTTATCTAAACTATTAAAGAGTATAAAGTTGTACGTTTGTTTGGTCTATTGAAAGAGTAAGGTTAATTTAGCTTTTACGAATGTAATTTTATTTAATTTTATGTAAGATATTATTTAGGTTACCATATTTAGCAACACACTGTATCATCTGAGAACGAACTTAGAACGTCTTCGATAATTAAAATAAAGTAACAACATGAAATTAAGTCAATAACTTCGACGCTAAGAAGTCCACATACATTCCAATAAATAATAAAGTGCAAAAACGTGGTAATACAGTTGATAATACATATTGGGGTAGCAAGCTCATTGCTAATGTACTAGGTTTATAAAGGAATGTTGTATTCTGAACAATGTCGTTTGTACTTACGTCCACTTTATGCCCTATATATAATATTATATACTATATATAATTTGTTACGGACATGTCCGACTAGTTTCGAGCAAACCGGAGCCCTTACTTTTAGCCTCGGTCATAGTTTTACGATTCATAGTCTTATGTTACCATAGCTCCCGGTCATAGTCTTATGTTACCATAAACAGATATGAGAATGTAAGAAAACCGGGTGAAAATTATTTCATATATTGACGACGATGAACGGCTACACAAGTGGGAGTTAAACGGTGCCTACCAGTGGCGTGCACAGGTTTTCGAGACAGGGTAGGCAACTAAATATCGTATGATTAAACCCCTCCCCCCCGCCGGTCATACAATCATGCTCACACAAGATAGGTACATGTACATAATATATTTTGAAAAGTGCGTTCAATAATATTGTGGTGTATTGTTTCGCCAAATTACATACACTGACATCTCGCGTATTTTTTGTGAAGTACTTCATCAGCTATTGAATAAGCCAACAAAACTTACAAATAATGAAAGATCTATTATTTATTTTAATAATGAAGCATAAATTTGATGAACCAAATTTCATTATGGAATTGTTAAGGTTAATCAATCTGGTCAAAATCATAATATATTACGAATTTAAGAGCGTAGGTACCTACATTATGTCAACAAACAAAACAATAACAAGCGCGGCCGGCTGTGGCCGAGCCGGCCGAGTCTATGCGGTACATTTGTTATTACTACATTACATAAATATTAATAATAAATTAATATGTGAATCAGTACAACCCGAAGTCTAAGTTGATATTTTTAAGAATTATCAAACAATAAACAAGAAAATCAAATAAAAGATCCATTATAGTACATATTTACATTACCTACCTTTTACTTGGGTCAATTCTCGTAACTCGAGTACACCTCTGCCTATGGTCATTACCTGAATCTAGTCCGATAAAGGACATTGCGAAATCTTACTGTTTTTACTTTCAACAAACACATAAAATTACCTATTATTCACACACACTTCACAATCGAATAATATAGGTACTTGTACTAGAAACTGAGAAACAAATACACTATTTGAAAAACCTACACATATATTTAACTACTACTACACATTTATGCAACTTTATGTTTAAAACTAATTCCTAATAATTTAAACGAAAACATAAACAAAGCGATCGCACATCACATGAAAACAATATGGCCGAAAACATTGGAAATGAATTGAAGTCATTACCAATAGTCAATTGAGTGTTTATTATAAAAAAAATGTAGCTTAAAAATTAAGGTAACGCAGCGTTTAATTTCAAAAAAACAAACGTTAATTTAGTAAGTCAAATGAAATTGCATCATCGTCTTAAACCAATATTTCATACTAAAAAACATTCATTCATATAATTTGAAACGTTGTAAATGGCGCCATCTTGACGTATCAATAACTTCCTTTTAACTTTTATAATAATAAAGTCAACTCCTCGTTTAAAATTTCTATAAACCGACAACGCGTAAAAATGTTAAACTTTAATTAAAACACTTGAAAAATATTTGTTAAATACGCATTTATAAAAATACATTCGCATTATATCGAACGAGTTCAGAAGTTTCAACAAAAAATTCAATAGATGGCGCTGGTGTACTCCATTCATCAGTACTTTACGATATACATACAAATTTTATCAATTTAAATCCTTTTATGATTTAATTGTTTTTAAAAATACAATAACTTGTTGTTGTTTTATTGTATTTAGAATTCTTAATAAAATACGATCGTTTTCCAAGTGATGAACGAACGGTCCTCTAATTTTTTAGTTGCAAACATTTTGTCAATCAACAGGAATCGCGTAATATAATTATGAATGGTTATTCTGTACCGTGACTATGGTCGTGAACTTCACGCATGCGCGGTGCATACTTTTGGTACATTTCTTTTGTGACGTCACTACTGCCAACCAAGATTTAAGGAATAGTGGCGCATGCGTGGTGCGTGCGGGGCGCATTCGTTACTTTACAAAGGCGCGTATTTATGTTAGCCGTTTTTTTACAAACTTTTATTTTATTATTGAATTTTAATAAACGCGTTTGTACATTATATGTATGTTATATATTCACGATATTTATAGGTAGGCAATGCCTTTTCGCCTATATGGACTGCACGCCACTGGTGCCTACCGAATTTTTTGCTCACCACCATAGCACTAGTGTGAACCTCTCGTTCTTCATCTAATAGGGAATAAGCTTAGTGTCATACTATTGGTCGTTCAATATTTGACAGTTACTGTGATAGGGAAAATAGCCTTTCTAACATTTGCGCCAATTGCCGAGCATTAGCTCGCATTATATTGTACTACAGTGGCCACTATTCGACTTGGTTCTACATTTTACAGCCTACACTACTAAAATTAAATCATGCTATATCTACATAATAATTTGACTACTCACAGCAGTTCGATGAGTATCACTGAGCGCGGCTAGTCTCGCGGCCCGCGACGCTAGCTCCCTCTGCCGACAGCGCAGCGCGCGACGTCGTTGTCCCCAGCCCCGCTCCAGCGCGCGCCAGTCGCCTGATAGCCTTCTGCAGGCCGCTGCGTATTCTTGCTCCATTGCTGTACGCTCCTAGAGACGATGATGTTTATATTATAACTTTTGTGAGCCATACTACATTAATAATTATGTTTTTTGATTCACTCACGTAACTGTTTGACGAGGTACTTTATTGTTTGTTGTATAATCCTAATACATAGAAAAGCAATGTTGAAGTAATTCAAATAAAAGACTCGTTTTTGGAGGAGGTTGCAACGGTCAAAAGTTTTGTAAACGTTTTATAAAGTAAATTCAGATCATCAATTTATTAGAGAAAAATATTAACAGTGTGGTGCAGTAGGTAGTTAAGAATTATCACCAGTTACCACCGTTACGTAGGTGTGATTAGATCCAACTAAGGGACGGGTAAAGATTTGACAGAGACTGGACCGCAACAATTTCTGATAAAACTACGCCTGAATACAATTTTAAGTAGTACTTAAATATCGTGTCATCTCTGTCATTATACAAAGAATTTGTAGTGACAACACTATACTAGCGCGACTTAAAATTTAGTAGCGTTTGAGTACTTTGACACTTTTTAAGGGGTCCCTCCCCTTAAAAAAGTATCAGACTCTTACTGACTAAAAACCACCCCTTTCCTTCTCCTGCTCGTCGAGCCGGAGCCCCGGTAAACCTTTACGTTCTCCGCGGCTACGTATCGGCATCAGCCCTATTGGGCCCCACCCGTTGTGGTTTTATCATTGAAATTGCGATATGGATCCCTAAGCGAGGCGATTAGGATAAAACCTCTCACGAAGTTACCGGGGTTACCGGGGCTCCGGCTCGAGGTGCAGAAGAAGGAACGGGGTGGTATTTAGTCAGTAAGAGTCTGACACTCCCTCCCGCCTCACCCAGGCGGGAGCAGCCATTTGATGATTTTACCCCCTTAAAAAAAGACTATTACTAGTTGTTTATAATGAAAGACATATTCGTTCATAATTCATAAGGTCCTCTTGACACTGACCTCATCAAGTTTCCTCTGCGCCTGTATGAGTTCCTCCCTCTCAGCATGCCACCGGCGCTGCCTCTCCTCCTGCTGCATGAGGAACTGTTGCCTCTCCCTCTCCAGCTCCGCGCGCTGAGCCTCGATACGTTCACAACGTATCTCACTTTCCAAGTCACTGTGCAAATAAAATATTGTAAATATTTTAAACTTGCTAAAATGGTTACTAATTCAGCATATGACAGACGTTTGGTGCTTGGTATTCTCCCTAAAATCTCTCAGATAGCTTAAAACAGTGTTATTAATTTATTGAAGAATATTACTTGCTAAGCTTACACCAACCGAGCGTAAACGGCTCAGTAGGGCAGAGAATATTGGACAAATTGGGTACTATTCTTAATCAAAAATAAATTATTTCGACTGTTCAATACAATAAAATATAAATAAATAATCACACTTTCATTAATGGATTTTATGACGAACTCATTTTTATTATTTTTCTAGCAGATTTTTAAGAAATAAGTATGTTGTTTGATTCTAAAAATATGGCGTCACAATACACAATCTCGTACAGACTTCATAGAAAAAAATATTGAATTTGACTAGTAGGCAAGAACACAATTGAAATGATATCTGCCTTAATTCGTTTCCGTCTAAATTCGTGTAAACATGCATTACCATACTTCAATTTTAGTTACTTTAACGACTTCTAAAAGATCTCATCATCCAAGTGGTACATGATGCTTTGCCAATTAGACATTTTATGTGTATTTGCAAACAATTATAGGAATATACTCACGACAATGTAGTATTAAGGTTTTCAGTGCTGGCAGCGAGGTCGGTGGTGGACCAGGAGAGCAGGGACAGGCGGGAGAGGTTCATCACGGAGGCACTGCCCTCCTGACGCAGCTTGGCGGCTTCAGCGGGGTCGTTGTAGCGGAACATGTTCGTACGACCCAGGAGGAGGATGCAACCTGAGTAATGTTATGCAGCTTATTAGTTGATTGGCTCAGAATCTAAATCTAATGTTGCAATATTCACGTGTAAGAGTTATTTGTTAATTAATAGAGCGACCTCGAAAAGATTATCAAATTGTTCGAGCGTGCTCGTTTAGTTTCAAGCTACACTGGGACCCATAATCATAAGCTAACGGGGACCACCGTATTTGTATCTCACCAGATGGCGCAATTGTAGAAAGAGGGTACTTTGTCCTTGGATAACAGTAGCAGTCGAATATTGAACGTCAATTGGTGAGCAAAAATACGGTAGACCTCACACTGAGTAAACAACGCCATGTCGATCACCGCACATGATGTTTCTGCTCATGATTATGAACCACATACATGGCTTGAAACTAGTCGAGTAACCTCAAACAATTACGCGATTAACGCCTGCATTTAAATTAAGTATATTTCACATCATTTCTTTTTATGTAGTAAAATGAGCAAGTACTTACCCTGGCTAAGTTTAGCCGGTTTGTCAATAAGTACAGTATTGAGCCAGCACTGGGCGCCGGGCGCGGGCTGCAGCGTCGCGGTCCCGGCCGACAGCAACACTCGGCAGTGCAGCGGGAGCACGCCCGCCCCCGACAGCACTATGTCGGGCGTCGGGACTAGTTCCGCACTACCTATCACTGTCTCACCCTCCTGTATACAAACAAACAAATCAATATTATTTATACATAACATAACATCACGCCTTCTTATTCCCGAAGGGGTAGGCACAGGCGCACATTACGGCAGTTAATGCCACTGTACAATGTAACACCGACTTTTCACTATTTATGTTATGAATCCCATGTAATAGGGGGTAAACCTATTGCCATATTTGAAAATTAAAAAAAAACCAATAATACTTCGCCACCTGAGAATCGAACCCGAGACCTCTTGCCTGGCAATCGCACTTGCGACCACTCGGCCAAGGGGGAAGTGTTTCTTAGTTCAATAGTGCTTATTTAAAATACCACATACCTTAAGATGATACAAAGTAACACCAGTAGATAGCAGATTGTCATCGATCCCAACAAGATGGGGCATGTCGGAGTCCAAAACGACCCCTAACCCACTCTTGCGCAGGCCCAGCGCCTTCTGTTCTTGCAATATTTGTTGCGTTTCCCGCCATTTTTCTGTCCATTTTTCAGTCAATACTTTCTCTTGAGCCTCCTTGCGTTGAAGAGTTGCTAGTACTCCTGGCTCGGTTTCTATTGGATCCTGGGTGGTAAAATACATATTTTTATTATTGTTTATCGAATTTATATGTCAGGCGTGGAAAGGGAAAGGTTTATACTGACTATCATAAAGAAAACTTTTTTCAAAGACTAGAAGGCTAGAAGAAGGAATATTTAGCTGTTTATACATTATTAGCTCGTACGCAGTCACTCAGTCAGCCAGTCAGTTCAGTTCAGTCGGTCAGTCAGTCAGTCAGTCAGTCAGTCAGTCAGTCAGTCAGTCACGCACTCAGTCAGTCAGTTCAGTTCAGTCGGTCAGTCGGTCAGTCAGTCAGTCACTCAGTCAGTCAGTCACTTAGTAACGGAAGAGATTTATTCATAGAGATAGATAATAATAAATCTTACAGTATTATGCGCAATCTGTGCACGTAGCTTGTCAATCTCCTCGCGCAGTTCCCTGATGAGCTTGACGTTGGGATCCTCGTTGATGGTCGGCTTGTTGATGATGTTCTTCGCTCTGTTCGCGTAGCGGAGCGTTGAGAGCGTCTCGCCGTAGTTACAGTCCGCTGGAGATATCTGTTGGGATTTTATAATTTAGTACTGTTTAGAAAGGTTCATTTTTGTTTATAGGCAGCATTGATAAAAAATACTACTCTCTTCTATAAATATAAATACGTACAGCTGCAATCATGATGGTCTTGGAGTTGCCTCCGAGTGAGTCTTTGAGCAGCCAGGTCAGCACCGAGTCTCGGTACGGGATGAACACCTTCTTCTGACCCTTCTGTCGAGCTGCAAAATAAAACAGATTGTAAGAACAAGAAACATTTCATGACATGCTTCACCACGAATGGGTCAGCTCGGCGGGAGGAATATGGTCTTACAGAAAACCGATTTGACCGACCGATGAAACAACCGAAGCATCGTATTTTGCTGTGTGAGTTATGTTACCAGACGCCTGATTTCTCTTCTCAATCTCCCCATACTCCGTAAATCTACTGAAGTTGGCGGTGTTCATGGGCGGCGTCGACTGCTTACCTTCAGTTGATCCGTCTGTTTATTTCCTGCCCCATGCTTACCTTCGGGCGGCTGGCTGGACTCTGCGAGCGCGGAGATGACGGAGCCGAGCGTCACCAGCGACTTGTTGATGTGCGCGCCCTCCACCAGGCGCTGCCCGGTCGCGCCCGTCGCGTCCGCGCGCTCGCTGGACCGAACGACGATTTTATTTATGAACATGGGAAATACGTACTTTATTATTTACAAAAATACTTATATTATTATTACTACTCGTTATAAAACGGATATAGCTTGTTTCTAATATAAATTGTACTTAGTTTGACAGCCGAAATGATTAACCAATCTAGCCGACTAGCTTCAAGCCATGCTAGAAACTCAAGATTCATGAGCAGCATTCCGCGACAGTCGTCGCGTCGTGTGTCAAACTAGTCGAGTTCCCCGTCAAACAGTTAGGTGAGTAAGCCGAAGAAAATAGCAATTAATTGAGTATGTCTCACAAAAGTTATAATATTTTTAGCCTTTTTAGTTAAAACATGAGCAATTGATGTTGACAGTCAAAATTAGTTCCTAAATCTTTAAGTTGAGATCGATATTCGATTAGTTCTAATACTAAAATCGATTTAGAGGTTTTGGACCAAAATTGGCTGTAAAAGTATACCTCTATACGTATATAGGTATACATAACGTTAACAGAAACAAGCTTTATCCGTTTCCTTGACTTACGTAAATAAGTCGAAATCTTTACTAATATTATAAATCGAAAAGTGAGTTTGTTTGTTTGTTTGTTTGTACCGCTTTCACGCCGTAACTACTAAACCGATTGCTTTGAATTTTTACAGAAGTAAAGTTAGAAGTCCGGGTTAAATAACAGGGTACTTTTTATCCCGGAAAAATGTGATATTCCCCAGGGAAAACAAAAGTATTGGTATAGATGGCGCTGTGTGTATTGGTATATGTCACATAGGCTACTCTTTATCCTTTTGTGACGCGAGTGAAGCCGCGGGTAAAAGCTAGTACATAATAATTAGGCTAAAAATATTGAGAAACAGAGGCCACTTAAAAGACCAAGTCTTGTACAGCCTACCCAAGGTCTACTCACCTTCCAGCCAAATCCACAAGATGCACCTTAGACACAGTTTCACTGGGCATGTTATTATGCCTGAGGTAGCTCGCCTGCACGAATGTTATAGTGAAGATCGCGTGCGAGCGAGACGACACGTCGTTCATCTGTGTTGATGCCGTCGTACGGTGAAGGTTGCCGCGGTGCATGCATTCCTGGAGAGAGATAGAGAGATAACATCAGTTTTAGGTGACTTAGGTAAGATATGAGATCCACACAGAGACTCAATCTTGCCCCACATCCCCAATCGTCGAATTACTAACGCGCAAAAGGCCGGTAGCGCACTTGTAACCCCTCTGGTCCGACGGGCTCCTGCTCGACGTGCAGAAGGAACGGGGTGGTTTTTAGTCAGTAAGAGTCTGACACTCCCTCCCGCCTCATCCAGGCGGGAGTAGCCATTCGATGATTTTCCCCCCTTAAAAAAACCCCCTCTGGTGCTCCGGGTGTCCCTGGGCAGCGCCGATTGCTTACCATCAGATGATCTGTCTGCTCGTTTGTCATCCTATTTCATAAAAAAAGATCCAAAAAGGTCAGTAGAAGTGGGGTTTTATTATGTATGGTCTTTTTGTTGGGATAAGCCCGCCACAACCTCCCAAAACCGCTGCAACTCCTGTAAGCCAGGATCTACAGTAGATACAACCAAGTAAACATCGGCACACTGAAGTCCGGCGCGTCCTAGGGACATGAGTAACTGTCTTGGTTCCCGCAACGAAGTGAATCTGAAGAGGAGGAATAAGAGGAGAAGAGGGAAAATACAAAGGTATGATCTACGTAATGGACGGTCTTACGTAAAGTCTACTTATCCTCAGTTTTAGTGGTATACCTACGACTAAAAATGTAAGTAACATACTGGTGACATTCCATTCTGAGACGGGGTCTAACCCACCCATTCCTCATAGATTACTTTGAGTTTACTCAGGAATGAAAAGCACCAAATATATTTTGTTATTTTGTAGTATGTTGACTGCGTTTAAAACTACACACATAGTAGTCGTATTTACGACCACACGACCAAAAAGACCCAATAAAATACATACAAACATAAAACACACTCTCCAATAAAGACTATTAAAATATTGTACCTGTATGTCATCATAATCCGACACCAAATGTTTGGACAGATCCTGTACGTAGGGTCCCAGCTTGGGGTGCTCTCGGACCCTCAGCGAGTGACCAGCGTCAGTAGCGAGGAGGTCCTTGACCCGCTCATTGTAGATCTCTAAATAGCTGACTTCTGTGCGGTAGGAGGAACCTGACTCCTTACCGGCGGCGACGCGGGAGAACAGGTGACGACATATACGAGGTATTAGGCCTTGGTACTCCTGGAAAGAGAGAAAAGAACAAATGACGAAGATGAAGGAAGAGTGAGTTGTGTAGGGAGCAGCATCAGAGGAAGATAAAGGAATTTGATATAATCTTTGTATGTAGGAGACAGTATAAGTTATAGTTATGGCTGGTATATGTTAGCCCTTTTTAAGGGAGTTATGAACTTCTAACTTCTGTGTTAATATGATAACCTACGCTGATAGCTTTTAAGCATGAACCAGCTTCTGGGTGACGATAATATGCTGCGAAAGTATCAGGATTCTTAGAGCCTCATACGGACATGCCCAATGGGACCTTTTATTGTGGCTTAGGTGGAGTCCGGTAGTCCCCTCTCACTATCAGGCCCAACGACATAAAGGTAAAAAAAATGTCAATCAATACGTACAGATGATCCCATCATGGTGAATGTCTTCCCGCTGCCAGTCTGTCCGTACGCGAACACGCAGGCATTGTATCCCTCGAACGCGCTGTCTATCACGTCCAGGCCCAGGTCCCCGAACACCTGGAAACATAGAACTTCAGTAGATCTACCTTGCTGGTTGAATATTTGAATCAAGATAGCCCAATAAACTTAGCGGTCAAAGTAATACTGACTGTTGGCTTGATATTCTGGTTTTCTGGGGCTGGTATCATGATGTCCATGACTATTTTGTTAAGAGCTTTGCAAAGAAAACAAGGGCGCATTAAATAATGTTATATTAAATTTACCTGTTCCTGTGACGCGTAGTTGGGGTCATCGTTGGCGAACGACCAATAAGAATGGTCGAAGGTGAAGTCCTTGTACTTCTCGCGACTGCCGTCATTTTGCTCTTTGCTATTCTGGAAGAAGAATATAAAAACATTCATTAATTTAGGATGAATAAGACCCATTCTCTACCCTATAGATAGCTTCTAAACACAAATTCTAATTTTGAACCGTGCGAGTGCCAAAACCGCACTCCGACATCGCGAGGCGATGAGCAGCATTGTCAAAAATTTTGGTGATCTTATATTGCCATTGGATTGGCCACAGAAAACTTTAAGAGAGCTAAGTGGAAGGAGGGTAGGGAGGCTTTTGCCCTGTAGTGGGACGACCATAGCTAAAAATAAATAAATAAGATAATACTGTCATTCCCAAACCATAAACTGTTCCTAAGCGTGTAGAACTAGATCATAGCAAACTCCGTCTAAAGAGGGAGGTCTTTATACAGCATTAAATGTATTCTGGCAAATATGAGATAGGTAGTACAAGTCACAAATTCCATCTACACATCACACCCAAAGTTGGCATAAAAATTATTGTCTGACGTAGTTCTGTGCAGTGACCGAACTGAGCGACCACCTTAGCGGGTAATCTATATGGTTCACACTATTTGCAATTATGACTAAACATGTCTGTCTAATTAATAGTTCAATCACAAAGATTATGATATTTTTTATAAATATCTTTGAAATTATAAATATATACCTACTTATACTAGGTTAAATAGATACATACTTATAGTATATCTATGTATGTTATATTACAAGCATATTTATATAATTATAATGTTTCTCGGCTCACGTTATTATATGACGAGGACCTCGACTAGTTGAGTAGCAGCGCGAGTCGCCGCGTCGCGGGCCGCGGAATGTTGCTCATGAATATGAGCCTCTAGCATGGTGTATAACTAGTCGAGTTCCTCGTTAAATAATTACGTGAGTAAGCCGAAAAACATAATAATTATTTAAAGTTATAATATAAACATACGTATAGTATATTTTAAATGCTGCGTAAACGATATGCTAGATGGTTTGACTTTGAATTTGACCTGCGTTCTGGCCTAATCTCTCGCCAAAGACACCACAAGGTCGTGTCGGTTGGTCATCCCATCGGATTACCAGAGGAGAAAATATTAGGACCATTCTTGTTGAAGGTATAAGCAGCATTGAGTCTAATATGAAGAAAAATCTAGTACTATAAACCGACCACATATGGTATACTTAAGTAAGACATTTGTAAACCTACGAAGGCAATATTAAACTCGTCCGAGTATCGAATCTAGGATCTCTTGTTAAGCATATTTTCAAAACAGGAATGGCTACGTAACTCTAATTGGTAAATGATCAAGTGTGCCAAGATAAACAGTCAGTAAAAAAGTTAATGTTACGGTAATTAGTCAGTAAGCACTGGTTACAGATATAATTAGTTAATTAGATATTAATGTCTGCGATTATTGGCAGAAATCCTTGATGGGGCATTAATTCTACTACACTATTCTGGCTTTTTTAAGGGGGGAAAATCATCGAATGACTTCTCCCGCCTGGGTGAGGCAGGAGGGAGTGTCAGACTCTTACGGGTTATAAACCACTCCGTTCCTACTCCTGCACTTCGAGCCGGAGCCCCGGTATCCAACGGGTTACCGGGGAGAACTTAACAAAGTTCTCCGCGGCTCCGTATCGGCATCATTATATATAGCATCTCATCGGCCCTATTGGGCCCCATCTGAACCACTATTCTGGCTACGTTGTCTGCTCAGGAAGGAATTATAACTTAACTAACTGACCCAGCTAACTTCGTACCGAATATTTTTTTTTCGTTTTTCACCTTTAAATACTTCCCAAGAATTCCACAAACAAATTAAGACCAAAATTAACCAAATCGGTTCAGCCGTCCTCGAGTTTTAGCGAGACTAACGAACGGAAATTAATTTTTATTTATATAGATAGATAGATGCATGATCAAGACAATTTTATGGGATAACCAAATAGGGCAAAAAACAAGCAATGGATCACCTGATGGTAAGCAATCAGCACCGCCCATGTACACCCATAGAATGTTTGAAGATGAGGACGATTTAGAGATAGAGGACTCATTAGCACTAACTCAAATTCAAAAGCTAGGGGCCTGGAACTGTGACTCTGATAGATAGCTCATTTCTAGTCTGTTTTATAGACAATACGACCTTTGCCCTCTCCTTCACTGTCCAACAGACATACCTATTACCAATTACATTTTAAACCTAACCAGGTTGATAAAAAATATGTATTTGGAATCCAAAGTCCACCTTTTCAAGTGTACTTAGGTATCAATATAGGTAGGCAAGTACATAGGTACTTCGATTATAGTCATTACAAAAAATCAGTACAACAATCGTAACATGATCTGAAAATCGTCCTTGAGTGACACGACAGCGAATTGGACTCAAACCCGCAATTAGCAGGGTTAAGAGCCTGGTAAACGACGCGTGACGTCACACACCAGTGACGTCATCACTCCGATCCGCATTGTGAGGCTCAGGTAATTCACTTGTGGATATTTTTAGATGTAGTAGAGCTCGTTTGTCTTTAAGCGGTTGTATTATTTATAATGATCTTAGTAGGAACTTCGAGATAATGCAAATGTAAAATTATGATTTTTAATCAGGATCAGAACAACGTGTGTATTTGTGTATGTGTGTTAATAGAGAATAAGGTACAACGGAGTTAACACATAAAAGTTGAAAGAAAAAACTTACGTAAATAAAGAAAAATAAACACTCAGATTTCAATAGTTGTGTTATAAAACCCATAATATAATAGCAGATGAGGTTAGCCTATAGCCATACTGAGAATTTTCTAACAATCGTAAAACCTACACAAAGATAATGTGTATTGATTATAAGGTCTATATGCATGTATTCTCATCGTACAACACTCGTAGAGATACTGAAACAATTTGTAAGTAACTCTAAAATTAAAATAGTGTATAATAAAGAACGTATTCTTTACAGTATTCTCACATATGACAAAGAAAAAATGCGGTGTAATTAGTTACATATTCTTTGTCATCTAAGTATTATCTTAAAGGTTATTAACACTACTACAGTACTAGAAAATACTATTACAAAAGCAGATGACAAATGGAGAAATAACTATAGTCCATTCACTTATTACCACATTATCAGCACATGATAGTCTACCGTTGTAACTAAAGTGGGAGAGTCATGCTTCTGTATGAATGGGCCGGCTCGACCGGTTTGATACTAGGGCCTCACAGAACCGGAAGCTCAATCACCCTCCTCCCCAACCTCCCCAATCCCCGAATCTCACAACAATCCTCAAATTCTTTATCCTTGAGGCCGGCAATGCACTTGTAACACCTCAGGTGTTTCGGGACTTTCGGGTGTCCATGGGCGACGCTGATTGCTTACCATTAGGTGAACCGTCTGCTCCTTTACAGACTTGTATTAGAAAAAGAGGCCTTCTCTTTATAAGAGTTGCCATAATCTCCACGCCTGATAGATCGATTAGAGAAAGGAGTTTAAAAACATTCACTTAAAATGAAAGATATGAGCATGGCACCAGTGCATGATAAAAGAACAATAATAATATTGAAAATATCTATAAATATGATTAAGAAATCGGACCGAAAACTCCACTTCAAACCAGCGGAACCAGTAGCATTTAAAACTCCAAAACAAGAATAACTCTCAAGGCCAACAGATTCGTAACTTGGGAAAACCCCTACACAGTATGAATGGACAAGTAGGCACCTATCAATGGATTAATCTACCATATCTTTTGCCATGAATCAGAATTCTGTAATAATAATTACAACATAGACATACAGAATCTCAATCGTTTAAAATACCAGCACGTATAGTAGTGGTGTGGTGAGCTAAATTGCGCTAAAACACGCAAGTAACGCGGCACGCTGTCTGTACCGACATAATATTTAAATTACTAGTATTAGATACGAAAGTCCGGACGGATGTTTGTTACCCAATCTCCTAAACTGCCGTATGGGTCTTTATACAATTTGACACATGGATAGATAGATGTGTATGTTTAGAAAAGCACATTATGTCTGAAGGATATCCATCCAATGTTCACGATATCTTCTGATATGTCTGTTACGCCTTAGTCACTACATATCATAAAACAAAGTCACTATCCGCCGTCTGTCTGTCCCTATGTATGCTTAGATCTTTAAAACTACGCAACGGATTTTGATGCGGTTTTTTTTAATAGGTAGAGTAATTCTTAAGGAAGGTTTATGTATAATACATGCACATTCCACAACGTGTGAAGTCGGGGCGGGTCGCTAGTATTCGATAAATTACAATTTAAAATTCGCTCGTCCATTTCAGACGTGCGCTTAAGCCAGGAACTGAATTATAATTTATAACTATTCGCAGTGTGTAGTGTACTAGGTGTAAAACGATTAAGGAACATATTACGCGAGAATAAAGACCTCACGGTGAAATATCGCAATGCGGACAGACCCTTGATATCATAGACAACTAGGTAAATATAAACAATATTTATTCACATAATACAGCTATGATTTTATATGGTTTGGTATTTGATATGAACTGCTGTGCAAACAGCGTGATTTATGTAGTTCAACAGGTGTAGCTGTAATCGGCTCGTGTCGATCTTATCATATAGTTATACCCACACTACTACGTCATACATCGTCACACATCGTACATAATCGCATTTGTAGAGAACAACACACGTTACCCAGTATTTTAACGTAATAAACTGGCCAACTCACTGCCTCGTTGGCCGAGTGGTCGCAAGTGCGACTGCCGGCAAGGGATCTCGGGTTCGTTTCCCGGGTCGGGCAAAGTATTACTAAGTTTTAAAAAAAACCCCCAGCCGTAGCACGGAGTCTGAAATTGTGCCCGGTATATGGCAATACGCTCACCCCCTATTACATGGAACTCATAACATAAATAGTGAAAAGTGGGTGTTACATTGTACAGTGGCATTAAGTGCCGTAATGTGCATGTCTGCTTACCTCTTCGGAGATAATAGGCGTGATGTTATGTTATGTTATCTTGCCTTCTAAAAGTTATAGGTATAGATTCATTTCGAAGAGTTACTTTTATTCAAGAATAGGTCTAGGATGGATCCAATCGATTCGATCGATTGCGAATTAACTAAAAGTTTAGAGTCAAACG